TTTAAACTCCATACACCTTCATTAGAATCATTTGGATAATTTCAGCCCTGAAATTACCAGTCTCCACTGAACAGAACTTAAAAGGTAGCTGCTAATTGGCTGCTTCATGACTTCACAAGTTGAAACAGAGCATTTTGAGCTTTGGAAATGTGGACAGACGAATAATAAAAGGTTACTCAAACTCATGTGTGAATGAAACAAAACATAACTATTTTTGAGGAGGTGACATTATAACATGGCTACAAGAGTCAGTTTTGCATAATATAGTTTTATAGACGATAGATTTTAGATTTATTTTTGCATATCACCAAAACAACAATTGCGATACTACCAGTTTTTCATTATTTACCTCCAACCTCTAAAAAAGTAAACTGATTTAAACTAATATAATAACAAACTATTGTGGTTGCCAGGAGAGGGCACAAGGACTCACCCAGTGCTGTCCATGAGGAATGAAACAGTTAAAAATAAGCTAAAAACAATAGCTGTTAGCTGAAATGTGTATTCAAACTGTGTGAGCCTTTGCCATTCCTTTGACACACTTTTGGGTCTTAACCTACTTTGTGGGACTGTTCAGTAAACAATATGTGTGAAGTAGTTCGACAGTCCTGAGGTGTTAAATACCAAATTCATCCTCTACATAAATAATGCACCAGTGACAAGCAAGCCAAACTTAAAGAGGTCATATTATGCAAGACCAACTTTTTTGAGTTTTTATTATAATTTGTTTGTTGTATTTAGAGTGATTCATGTGTGTTTGAGTAATCCTGTATTGAAAAATTGTAAATATAACACCTGGTTGTACATGTAAGGTTAAAGGTTGTGTAACTTTTCTGGTGGAGGGTTCATCAAATGCTTTTCACCATCCAGATGTTTTTGGGTTTTTTTTGTTTTTTTGTCTGGAATGTTTCACAGTATGTAACCTTTCTGTCTTCATGGAGTCCAAACCAGACTAGGTTATGTCAGTTATGTGCTTGACTCATATTTTGCATAATTCAGGGTACATATTGGGTCATGGAACACCTGGAAAAGTCATGAGAAATTAAAATTTAATTTTCAGGCCCTGGGAAAGTTTTGGAATTCTACTGTTTTTTAGGAGAAGTTATTGAATTTTTATAAAACATTTTGGTTAAATACGCTTATCTTTTTAATCCAAAAAGGTTAGTGTCAACCATGGTCATGGAAAATTAGGGAATGGTTATGGAGAAATGGAAAAATCATTGAAAAACTTATTAACATATGTTGACATATGAGTTAACATATGTACAATCCCTGATAATCGTGCACCTTTAGAGTGAAATATCAATGCTTAAAATGCATGTAAAAAGTAAATTAAAAGAGGGGTATTACATTCTATGGGGTATTAAGTGCTAACACATAACATATTTAGATCACCATGTTACCTTTTATTGTTTTGAAAATGCTATATTCACCAAAAACAACATATTAATGTATTAAAGTTTCATTTTCCTTTTTGATGCTTTGAGACCCCTGTCCTTTACTCTCTGTGATAAGTCACTCCCTCTTCATCAGGTTTGTCAAAGTGGCTTGTGGGCTGAGCATTGCAAAGAACCTCACAGCTAACCATAAGAACGATTCCAGGAGTTTTTTTGCTTTTGCATAGTACTGTCTTTTTATATACTGAAATATACTCTGAAGTAATAATGTAGGACCTTAACTGAAGTTGAAAATCTTCAGCCATAACCTATTTAAACAATGTATTTTCAGCTAAACGCTTTTGTTGACAAAGAAGACTAGCGTTTCTATTGTAGCAACATGAGTAGTTGTAATCCAGGACACGAGTAGGTCTCAGGTTCACCTGTTAGTTAGACAGTACTTTCCACAAATGCACAAACATGGACGTCTTTCGTGGTGTTGACGTCACTTTCTCAGATATAGGGCACTGAAAGAAGGAAATAACCAAACTGAAGATTTATGTTAGACAAACAAGTGTTAGAGATTTCACAAATTTGTGTTTGAATAAGGCCTTTTATGGACCGTAGTATTGTTACAGGGCACATATTACGCTGTTTTCAATGTTGTTAATGTAGTTTCCTCATCACAAACATATCTGGAGTTGTGTTTTTTTTCATTCACACATGTTTAACACACAAACCTTATGATGTCATCGCAAAACAGGAAGTGCTCCACTGTGTCCATACACATTCACTAGAATCATTTGGATAATTTCAGCCTTGGTGTTGCTACTGAAAACTACTGCTTCATGACATCACAAGGTGGAACAGTGCACTTGAGCTTTGGAGATGTAGACAGACTTATAATAAAGGGTTTTGAATGAAACAAAACACAACTCTGGGTATGTTTTTGAGGATGTATCAAAGTTCTTAAAGTTTTAACATGGCTTGAAATAATTTACCTTAGTTCATTGATGCTGACAGAGTATACATTAAATTTGCCTGTTGTGTTTCCTGTGGATAGGCCCAGAAATTAAAGGGACATTAAACTCCTCGTGCCTGAGTACCCCAAGTGTACAGATGTTTTGTTCCACGATCAGGAAGGGCAGGAGTTAGGAGGAGTTAGCAAGCTAGGTATTGTTAGCGTTTCTGTCACTGCAAAACTCCGCTCTGGCCTCTGAAAGTTGTGAAAAGTACTTATAATCTCATTGCAGTAAATATTTAGGATGCTGAGAATGCATAAGGCAAGTTAGGAATAACTTTGGACCACAGCAAACTGTTTTTAAGTCAGTAAAATCGGGTGCAGCTCGACATCCAGCTCAAAACATCTGCATTTTGTCTGTCACCATAGAATTCTGAAATGCCCTACTGCTTAAAGATACACTGCGTAACATTCCATCACCTGCTTGTCTCCATGGAAATGTTATTGCTTTGTCTAGAATGTTCCACAGCATAGATTAAACTTATGTGTCATGAAGACGATAACCAGGTTACAGCACAACGCTACGTTACAATTCAGATCTATGGAGAGTCATCCTATTCACAGGAGTAGTTATTGTATTTTCAAGCATTAGAAACACATGTTAGGAATAAATGTAAGATGGATTTGTTTAATGTCATACCATAGAACATAACAGGCAAAGCAAGACAAGTAGGTACCACCAGAAAAGTTGTCCAGTTGTGCACCTTTAATTTGAAACTCTTTAAGTTATGATGTCAGTTGACCTCGGCATACATGTATAGCTGTCCCACTAACACAGATATTTGAGTGTTTGAGCTGCGGAGAAAAGATTATGGCTCATAACAGATGCATGAGCTGTTACTTAACTGTGTGGCTGTGTGCTCTGTGCTAGGGGTGTGATCAGCGGTGCCATAACCTCCCAGTACCTGCTGGAGAAGTCCCGCATTGTCTTTCAGGTGAGTCCACAGCAGGGAGGGTGGGAGTCTTGTTTCCAAAATGTCATATGTCACCTCACAGAGCAGTTACACTCAGGAGTTCAGTCATCAGGGACCTCATTTATAAAAGAATACATCAAAATGTACTTGGACACTTGTGCACTGTACAATTACGAAACACAACTTACTGTGTGATCAATAAATTGTTTCACGTTTCCCACACACTTGTGACCAAATGTTCACAGTTCAATTTGATTTTGTGTTTTTTTTTTTTTTTTCTGGAAAAATAAAGTCAAAATGAACCAGTCAGTTCCACTAATCATGACTTTGTCAAGCTCTCTCCCTTCATAGCTTTTCTCTTCTCCTCTCCTCTGAGCTGTGTCTCTGAGGCTCCAGACTTTCTGCAGAGGTGCACTATGTTCTATGTTCAAGTGTTTTGTTTTTTTTTTATAAACACAGCTTTGACATTTCAGACCTTGTTTTTGTGACTATGGGTCTTTAGAAATGAGGCCCAAGGGCTGTGCCAGAAGTCAAGGCTTCTTTCTACAATAGTGTAGTGTAGATGATGTTATGGTAGCCTGGCAGACCAGCCCCTCCTGCTGTCTGTTTAAATGCAGGAGCACAGTACGGCAAATAGTTAACAAATAAAATAAATATATTCTTTTGACAATGTATTTCATGATGTATCTGTGCAGTCACATGTCTTAGGTAAATAAACATGACCAAACAATATGTTTATTGGAGTTGAGGCCTTTTACAGTGACCGATAGAAGCTGCTACGGTTGGCCTGGTGTCTTCCAGTATGAGTAGTCTGATGAAACATTTGTCCCTTTTGTTACTATGTAGTTCTGAGACTTTGGTTTGTTCTGCTGTACAGAGCAGAGTACATGTGCACTGTCTGATACTTTGGTTGTGATCATATAATATAATGTGTGACGATAGAACTATGTGAGATCAGTGGAGCTTTTAAGAACCAAACTCCTCCTCTCAAGGGCGTCTCCCAGTCATATGATTCTTTGGACTTTACTTTTCTATGCGTTTAAGTTTAATACAACATATTTGGTCTATCTCCCTTTTGAGAGCTGTGGTCAGAATTCAACAGCTAACTTCAGAAAACTTACCTGTCATGGTAGTTTGAGCTCTACCAGCACAGACATTGTATGTTGCAATGCATTTTCAACTATAGACTGTATAAACAAGTGGCCTTGAAATGTGTGTGTGGTCACCCACTGTGTTCAGCTCCTGTCAAATGAAGCTCGCAAGGCTAGCAGTTCTTTGGGTCAATTTGGAACTGAGTTCCATACTAGATAATAGAAATTTATTTACCAACAATATAGAGAAATAAAAACACCAAGATCATGTGGAGCAGGTTAATAGGAACATTTTAAGACCAAAATGGCGAGGCTCCCTAAAGCAGTTACAGAGAGAAAGGGATCATTTTTATTTAAATTTTCCAGTGTAAAGCTAATTAGAAACAGACAGTGGAGCTGGAAGCACCCCCATGTGCACTTGCTATTTGGAACTCAGCGACTAGCAGGTTAGCTATGTCCACTTATACTAGTATTTACAGTCTGTGTTTTCAGCTTAGTATTGCATAATAATAATCACTTCTCTGCCACTAATCATTATTACTCTGACACTATCACTGTAACATGTCAGTCCCATCACTGGTCCATGTTTGATTGACAGGCCAAATCCGAGAGGAACTACCATATCTTCTATGAGATGCTGGCTGGTCTTCCTCCTGAAGAGAAGAGCCCACTGTACCTGCAGGAGGCCGAGACCTACTACTATCTCAATCAGGTGATCACACTCAGGACTAGGCACAAAATAACACAACTCAAATCAGATTCATTGGAAAAGATTCATTCTATTTCTGGAATTTGTGTGTGGCCCCAGATATTTGGTATGTCTTTTCTTAACAGGTTCGCTTTATACCAATTCTTAAAGTACTCATAGTCATTTCACTAAAACATATGAACAATGGTGTATTTAAGATTTTACCAAAAAATGTCTAGTTTTTCTAGTTTATAATTGTTTGTGTTGATGACATACATACAGTAGGTGAAAGTATTACGTTTTAGAACTCACCACCTCTTGCTGCATTTTCCTATCAGTTTTTTTTCCACAAACTGTCACTAACTGATGTAAAAGTATAAACATGAAAACCTGCTATATGCTCTCAGGACAAAAAATCTATGGGCATATTTAATAGAATTTACCTTTTTATGAGAAATATATTTTCAGAGGAAAGAAAGATCCTCCCTCCATAAAGGCAGTGTATTTTTGAACACGCGTACAGTGCCTATTGTCATGCATAGTCCTTTTATGTGTCGTCCCACTGTAAGTCTGATGAAACAGGGAGCAATAAAGAGACTGTGTGACGGAGTGGGACTGTGCCCAGGAGATTTCCATAAAACAATACACTTTTACTTTACTTTATTAATAGTAAAGTTCATAAACATGACCTACTTGTGTCCCCAAATACAAGAGAATAATAGCTTTTACTGATAACTATTATGATTCAGCTTTTTTCTTAATTATGAAAACAATTACGTACATGGGCAACAGTAGTAGTCGCTAGAGTGCTTATCCTCTCATCCGAAGGTTGGAGGTTCAAATCCTGCTCTTGGCATAATAATGTGGCATTCATGATGGCCTAGTTGGTTATTTTGGTTCCCAATACGATTATTTTTCATTTTGGTTACCAGTTGCCTATGACTAAATCCAGTTGGTTTGAACCTAAAATCTGTCTGGTCAGGATTCTCACCACTTAAACCCCAGCATCTGCAACAATTAATGAATCAGTGCTAGTGCAGCTTCTGCACTCAGCCTCTACAGCCTCTGCAGCTCAGAATTCTGGAGATTCTGAGCTTTCATATGAGGCATGGCCTGTCCATATACTGAGAATGAGACAAACTTGTATGTGTTCTCTGTCTGCATGTTAAAGGACTAGGAACACATGTTCAGCTGTGATTGTTGTTAACTTAAAAAAAAAAAAAAAAACTAAAACAGGACAGGCTACATACAGGCCTTCCCTACCATAAATTTTTGAACACTGTTATTTTTTAAAAGTCCCTTTTTGCAAGTCCAGCAAACGATATCTCAGGCGCTACAAAAAATACTACAGCTTAAAATGTATCTGTTATTGTATCTTTTTGTTAATTATAAACTTAAATAAGAAAAAAACATAAAATATTCTACTACACTTTCAAACATATATTTCAAATAGTGTTTATATTCTGTAAGGTGGCTTTATTGCCATGTAAATGAGATGTGACTCTTTGTGATTGTACTGTGGTGTCTGTGCTGCAGGGAGGAGACTGCATCATCGAGGGGAAGGACGATGCTGAGGACTTCAGGCGTCTGCTGGGGGCCATGGACATCCTGTGCTTCACCCCGGAGGAGCAGAGCGCCATCTACAGGATTCTGTCCTCTGTGCTGCACCTGGGGAATGTCTTCTTCCAGCCTCACCAGGTCCCAGAGCTACACACTACTTTTGACTACATATGTAACAGTATATTTTCAACATCATATTTTGCTAAAAATTAAACATACGGTATAACTAAACTAATGAGGGTGAAAACAAAATGTATGATTTTTTTGCGCAGTTAATAAGCAATAAATGAACCAAAGGGATGAGTGGGGAGATACCTGTGAAATTTCAGTTAATTTCTTTTTTGAAAAAGCCCCATATCAGAAAGTCAGTGTCAATGAAAGAAAAATTCTGCCCTATGCTTGTCTCCTTAAAGATGTAATGTTCCACAGTATGGCTTATGGCAGTATAACTTATCTGTTTTGCAGGTATTCAGTTACAGGTGTTTTAACTGACAGAAAAACCTTGAAAACACCCAATCACACATCAGAATACACGTATCCTCAATGTTTTACAAAAATGTAATCTTCCTGAGTTCAGATGAGATGATGAAACAAATATGGCAGCTGATGAGGAAAAAAGAAAGGAAAACAAATTTCACAGGGGACTGAAAAACATCAGATTTCTGAGAAATCAATGAACAAAGCACTGCAAATAAAGGGAAGAGAAATGTGATTTTGTTTCAAAATGCTAGGTGACCAATGAGCTACTTCATTTCACATGCCTCACTGAAAAAGACAAATGTTTGCTTGAGGTGTGACAGAGAGAGTGGGGACCAGATATCTCAGTGTATAAAATTACACAGAGATATCTCTCTGGATTTGCCAGGCACATCGCACATTCACACACGGACAAGCAGGTGGCGTATCCTCTATCATAAAAGGCACACCTTTAACTTAGTATTTGAATCAGAAAGATGAAATAATGTGTATGCTGTGCTCTAGTTGTATCTTGTATGACGTGTGCAGATAACATTTCAAACTCAATTTCAATACTGCAGAATAGACCCGATACTCAGTACAGATTATGGTAATAATATATGGTAATAATAAACAGTTTATACAAAATAGATTGGTTTGGATCCTAGTTGTAGTATGGATTAGCATGTATAATGTAGCTGTGTGTTGCGTGCTGTGTGCAGGTGGAGGGGCAGGAGGTGGCCTCGGTGGTCAGTGCTCAGGAGATCAGGGTCATTGCTGAGCTGCTGCAGGTGTCTCCAGAAGCTCTGCAAAAGTCTGTCACCTTCAAAATGACCGTGAGTCCTGTCCATACTGTACTGTCACAAATACACAGGGCATTCCATAGTTTGTCTCATGGTTTTGGCTCGAATGGTAATGATTTGATGATAGAGTAGGACTTCCTTTCCAAGTGTGTGTTTGTACATGTAGTTATCTTGTTAAATTAAAATAACAGGTCTCAGTACTTATACTTAATAATAGACACTTAATATGTCTTAATAGTCTAGTGTTGTCATTGTACTAAGGGTGCATCCATGCTTGAACTTTTCACCACATCAAAACTGGAACTAAACTGAGCCTAAATTTGGAACTAAACCTGGACTAGACCAGGACCAAACCAAGTCTTTACCTGGGCTGAATTGGCCTCAACCACATGGACCACGGTGAACGCACCCTAAGATTACAAATTCAGTTTCAGTGCTGTATGAAAACTGTTTGATACACAAGACCAATTTCAATACCACAATATTTATACAATAAATTGTAATTTTCAACCAAAAATGTAACTAAAAAACTGTAATTTAAACTAGGTCACAGATAGATGGAGAAAACTATTCAGGAAAGGTCACATTTTCTAATTCCAGTGCTAGTTTTAGTATCCGTTAGAATCCGGGTATCAATTTTTGACATCACTAGACAGTACTGAAGTAAGTAACTAAGGTTTATTTATATAGCACTGTTCACAGATAAAAATGAGAGAATCCAAAGTAAAATAGTAGGTAGGAGATGCTGACTGTAGTTGACTTCCAGGATGCTGTGCGGGAGAAGATCTACACTCCTCTGACAGTGGAGAGTGCTGTGGATGCCAGGTGAGACCATTCATGTTAACCTTCAGAGTGTAGTAGTAGTCATCCATGATTTCATTAAAAAAAAAAAAAATTGTAAATACTACATGGATTCAAGATTTTGTATTATTGACGTATATTTAGCAGACAAACCTTAGCTGACAATCATGTGTAAAAGCTTGGTACTTCAAATGTATATCAACAATAAGATCTGGAAAATAAAGGTTCAATTTGTAGTTTGATTTACAGTAATTCACTAAAGCAACCTAGCAGCCTCCGTTCATGCATTCAGCTCCACACGTGGGTCCAACCCGGGTCCCACAATTATGCCTTTCTCTGCTTGTCTCCATGGAGATGTTGTTGCCTTGCCTGGATTTTCCAAAGTATAACAGTCTATTCTGCATTCATTCAATTACACTTAAAGAATACATTTCAAAATACATTTGTGTTACTGTGAGCAGGGATATCTCTCTACAGATCTGACTTGTAACTTGGTCTGGTGGCGTGACTTTCTTGTCTCCATGGAACGAGATATGTTTAATGCCACAGTGCAATGCAATGACATCTCCATGGAGACAAAAGTTACACTGTGGACCTTTAACGTGCAGTTTCTTCAAAGAGTCAATAGCCACCTTATACTGTCTTAAATATTGAACATTAAGTCAATATAGTAATAGTATACAGTATCATTTATGATTACACTATATGCTGTTAATAATTACAACATGTTGAGCCAGTTGTCCTGACAGTTTGAAGCACAGGCTGAGCCAGACTGGTTGAAATGCTCTCCCAGACTTTGGCAGAGGCACATAAGGACAACACATGTCAGAGCTGGGGGCAGGCACTTTCACTTTCACATGTCCTCTGTTGCCATAGAAACAGCCTTGTCTGTTGCCATGGCTACCATTTTGTGTGTTGTTCCCAGAGATGCGGTTGCCAAGATCCTGTATGCGCTGCTGTTTAGCTGGCTGACGGAGCGCATCAATGGACGGGTTTACCCTCGCCATGAAGCCCTGTCCATCTCCATATTGGACATCTATGGATTTGAGGTCACTATTCATTTCATATATCCAGTCATAAATGAAGTCAAAAATATATGTATCCCCCCTGTCTGTGTCCCCCAGGAACTGCAGGTGAACAGCTTTGAGCAGCTCTGTATCAACTACGCCAATGAGACGTTGCAGTCCTTCTTTGTTAAGGTCGTCTTCCAAGAGGAGCAGGTCAGACACCAGCACATTCAGATATTTGCTACAGTTCAGTCCACCTTTACTGTTAAGTGTGGATATGCACAAGATGCAGAGGTTCTGGTAGTGATATAAACATATAGTTCATTCCATTCCATATCTAACTCCCCACTTTCTAAATTCTCTTATTAAAGCAGGGTTTGTGGAGCTTTTATTTTACTTTCAGAATGTTTTGACCCACTAGATTTTGTTGCATTATTGTCTAGTATAACTTTAACAAATGTTTATTCTGTGGTTGTTAGCATTTTAGCAATTAATAAACTAAGCTAAACACTACTCACAATATTGTTTCTAAAGGAACTGTGCTGTTACTAACGTCGACAAAACAGCTCTAGTTTTCTAGTCTAATTAGTCTAGCTAATTCTTCCAAAAAGTGGAGTCATTCATGGAGCAGTATCAGCTTTTAGAATGCAGGCACTCTGTTTACAAACAATAGTAGTCTATACTGTCTCCACACTGCTATTTCATGACTAACACAGTCCTCTTTTGAACTGAAATGTGTCTGAATGTAAAGATGTTGCTTGTGCTGTGTAGGAGGAGTACATGAGGGAGCAGATAGAGTGGCAGCAGCAGCCCTTCAGCCATAACCAGGCCTGTATGGACCTCATCTCTGCCAAGCCCCATGGAATACTGCGCATTCTGGACGACCAGTGCAGCTTTCCACAGGTGCAGCCTGACCACAAATTCTGTCACATTTCTGTGCTTAAAGATCTAGAAGTGCTATTTGGGGCAAAATGTGTTATATACCAAATGAAAGCTGGAGCTGGATTGGCAAAAATCTAAAAAAATAACCTTCCCTTGAGTGATCACTGACCAACAACAATACTTTTCAGGCCACAGACCACACCTTCCTACAGAAGTGCCACTATCACCACGGTAACGACACGCTCTATGCCAGACCAAAGATGCCACTGCCAGAGTTCACCATCAAGCATTATGCAGGGAAAGTCACCTACCAGGTACTGCTGTATACTAGCTCTCTCTAGAGCTATTCCTGCTGTTGTTTAGTGCAGTTCATTTGTCTTACATAGCATCTGACTCTGCCCACAGGTTCACCACTTTCTAGACAAGAACTTTGACATGGTGCGCCAGGATGTTCTGGACCTCTTCATGCAGAGCAAGAACAAAGTAGGTCCTATTCCATCCTGTTCCATTCATAGCATGTCCTGGTATGGTTCCTATTTATGTCCCTGTTTTGATCAGTGTTATTGTGTTAATTAAGAATACATACCGAAAATACTTTGGTTCAAACAATTACACTTGCTCTATCTAACCTTTCTGACTGGGTGTTTCCCACATCCTGTGTCTCCATGACAATACTTTGCCTTGGATGTTGTATGGTGTTCCTATCCAGCATTTCTTACAGTTGTTGTTATTGCTGAACAAAATACTGTGCACAGGCTAAGCACAGATCTGACCAGTGGTCTTAACAGGAGAGATGTATTGTACCATGTTGTAGCACTAGTGCTAATTTCCACCTATCGTCCCTGGGCAGACTGATGTTATAGTTCATAAAATCAAAATACAAAGAGAATGTCTTTATAATGACCTGATCATCATTAAAATTCTGTATCATCATTCACACTTCAGTTCTCTCAGCACATTAAAATCATCATCCCTTATCAAAATCATCATTCAGTTCATTTACTCTGGAACATCACTCTCTCCAGACATTCATCAGTCCACATTATGGGCACAGGTGAGAGGAGAGGAGCCATTGTTTCACCAGGCACGAGAATGTGCCGTAGTTTGTACATGTGATCAGCTCTCTTGGTAACATGTTCCACTGATGGACAGTTCTGCATGAAAAAACTTTCCAAATACTGTCCTGCATTTGACCAGCTGTTTAAACTTGTTATGCACTAAAAAGTATGGAATTAAAAAGTTAATTATCATTTGGATCACCTACTATTCTCCATTCTAAGCAACATTTTAACATTCCAAACAAATTCACCTTCATGGAGGCAAGCAGGTGGTGACCCTCCACCCAAAAAGTGACAGATTGCTGAAATGTTTCTGTGTGCTCAGAAATAAACTCCTCCTCTTTCTCTCTGACCTGCTCTGCTTCTCAGCTTGTGTCCAGTCTGTTCCTGAAGCACTCAGAGACCGTCTCTCAGCAGAAGACAGCCCACCGCACCAGCTCAGTGCGACGCTACCAGGCCAACACGGTCAGCGCCAAGTTCCAGAACAGCCTGCAAGAGCTCATCGAGAAGATGGAAAGGTGGCAACACTCCACTCCTATTAGAGTCTTTGTGTCCTCTGTTTGCTCTATGTAACCATCAGGACTAAGGACTAAATAATGTTTCTGGTGCATAGAGGAGTCAAGCCATTTAAATTAGGCTCAAACAAAATTTGCTCTTGTGTGTAAAATGTGTTGTAAATCTGTATACTTGATGTGTCTGTGGCAGGTGTAACCCTTATTTTGTGCGCTGCATCAAACCAAATCATCATAAGGTGAACCGTGAGTGACAGGTGTGGTGTTTGCTCTGATACTTTCCTTCCTCTTGTGTTCCTTGTTGTGTACTCAGACAGCCAGGGCTGATTCTAACCTTTAATGTGCCCCTGACAAAGGGACTCGTATGACACATCCATTCTGTATCCCACAGAGAACACTAGGGATGTCAAAATTGTTGGTATTTAAAAAAATAAAATAAAATGCATAAACCGGAAAAAGATTGACCTTTTTGAATTGTTTTAGAATGATCACATGATTACATAAAGTTGTAAAACATGCATTTAATTCATGTATCTAAAAAATTCCAATGTGAGAAATATTGTTTACAATCATGATAGAATTGATTTATTTTTTTAAATAATATATAACATTGTTTTCTCATCAAAAACATGTCTGAAGAGGTTTCAGATGTCATCCATGCATGTTTCAGTAATTTTTACTCCTGGCCCCATTAGAACCGTCCTTATGTTCTAGGCTGTAAGATTTTGTGCAATGCTCTGTTTGTACCCACAAGCCTATGTCACCCGTGCTCTCACACAATTCTCCATAAATATACAACATCATGATACAAAACTTTACTAGCTTTATTAGTGGGATACCCACTGATTGTGTTGTGATAGCTCTGTGAAAGGGGAGTGACTTAAAGGGAGAAGGAGAGGAGGGATTCAGAGCATATACAACAAAAGTAAAACTTATAAAATATGTTAATAGTTGTTTTCGGTAAATATAGCATTTTCAAAACAATTAAAGGTAACATGGTGATCTAAATATATGTTAGCTCTTAACACCCCATAATTCAATTAATCTTTATTCCAAACTCATGGTCCAATGGCTTTAATTATAGGTGAAATTTAACTTATTTTATGGTGAAAAATCCTGCAAAAAACTTCAAACAATGACACAGCTAACATTTGCAGTTATGACTATTTTGTTCATCTTCGGGGCCCCTGGTGTTCCTTGGGACCCTCTGCATGCACTTGGTTTGACTACGCTTTTCTCATGCTATTCTGGTGTGCAGGAGCCCGGGGTGTTTGACATGGAGCTGGTCAGTTCACAGCTGCGGTACTCCGGGATCATGGAGACCATCCAGATCCGAAAGGACGGATACCCCTACAGACTGGAATTCCACAGCTTCCTGGTCAGGTAAGGAGGCAGTAGAGGTGGTAGAGGAGACAAAATAGGCTATTGACTAGATATGTACTTTTGTAAACTTGGAGACAACACAGGTGAGGCAGAGGGAAACAGAAAACTGGTAGATCCATAATAGTTCAACCATGTTCAAAAGAGTCCAGAACAGGTGCTCCTCAAGGACAAGGCACAAAAGCTGCTAGACAGTGAAGAAGACCAAGTTTTAATATAAAAACTTACTGTGATACAGTAAAAAGCGGTCGAAAAAGTCTGAGGCAGTCTGCTGGAATTATAATAAAAGACTTTTAATAATTACATGGGATAAATCAACAAGTTTTTCACTGTCTGCTAAATGAATGAATGTATCGACAAAGGTATTTTTAGAAGTAAATGTTACTTATTAGAATAGACAAACATTGTCCTCAAGTATGAGTAACGTTACTTCAAAATAATCTTACTCAAGTAGAAGTACAAAGTAGTGGTCCAAGAAATTGCCTAAGTTAGAGTAAAAAAGTATTTGGAAAAATGCTACTTAAGTAAGAGTAATTTAAAGAGTAACTGTCAGGACGTAACATCTGATGATCGTTTCATACTGTCAACATAAAGCTTTTGTTACGTGTACTTACCCACAATAGGGAAAGCCAACACTTTTACTCATGCAAGAGTACTGTTACTTTAATAAAAAAAATATTACCCCTAATAAAAAAAATATTACCCCCAAGTAAGAGTGAAAGTTTTCTGCTAGAAAAGCATAGTAGGATCGTAAAAATCTCTTAATTACTCAAGTAAATATATTGAGTAAATGTAACTGAGTACTACCCATCTCAGCCTTTAATAAAATAATTCCATGAAAGGATTGAAATGGATTTGTCACTAATTATAAAACTATTCTTGATAATGATGGCTCAAACATTTGCATTTACACTATTTATTATTCTATTATGTATTAGTCAGTTTAATTTGAAAGACTTGATGTTTAAGTATGTCAACAAATAACTGTACATGCAGGTACAAAGCCTTACTGTGCCTGGTGGAGCCGCCCCCTGCTGATGGAGAGAACTGTGTGCAGATGCTACGCAGACTGGCCCTCATCAAGAAGGGCTCATACCAAGTGGGAGTCAGTAAGGTGAAGGCCTCTCAGGGCTGGACTCAGATTAGCTGCTTTCATTATCTCAGTTACTGAAGGGACCAAAACAAGATGTCACCCTGTCATTCCCCAATTTCAGTCATTTGCCAAATATGCACTACCAGTCCATAGTTTCTTTTATTTTTACTATTTTATACATTTTAGTTATGTTGTTCAACAGTTTTTTCTTTGCTACATTATTCCATATAGTATCTTAAAAAGTTAAACTCACTTCATAAAGAATTTTTAGTATGACACTTTAACACTATAACATGTATATTGCTATTTTTATATTTACAACCTGTCCCCTGCTTATGTCATGTCATGTCATTATCTCATCCCCTCATGCTCCTCAGATCTTCCTGAAGGAGGAGCTGTACCAACTGCTGGAGGCCAAGCGTGAGCGTGTGCTCAACATCGCCGCCCTCACCCTGCAGAGATACACGCGCATGTTCTTCGTACGCAAGAACTTTGTCAAATTCAAGTGGCGCATCACCCAGCTCCAAGCCCAGGCCCGAGGGTACATGGCCAGGTGAGGCCCGTCAGCGTTTCCCAGTGTGGGGAGCTGTGTTAGTGGGCAGCAGACAAAGGGTTACATCTGGATATGTGGGGCAAGCACTACGTTTACATGCATGAGAGGAAAGGCAGATAACTGGCCTAGCAGATTTAAGCAGGACCCGGGAGCTATGGTTGAGGTTGTGGTTCGTGCAACTGAGGGTGTACTTGAATCCTCACTCCATGTAACAGTGCAGTCTGATAACGCTAGGAGTAGGTTAGGAGAGGCATGTTAGGGCCTGTAATCACTCATTTTAGCCATGACAAACTATGGCCTCTCCCCTGTGGACTTGTGTTGTTTTTGTGTTGTTTTTGACCCTTATATGTAAAAACACCTACTTGATGTTTGCCAAAATTGATAGCAGTTTTTTATTAGCAGTATAGCTTCATAAATTTAATGCTAATACTAAATCACTAGACACCCCTGAGTGCCCCCCGTTCGCTCGTATTTGGTTCCTGACCTGCTGTAAACAGATACAGAGTGATCTGACAGGTTTTAGTCGTGACTGTTAGACTACTGTTTCTCTCCTCCATTTAAGAAGACCAGGCCAAAAGATTCTCCTCACATCATCCATCATCTCTGACAGAACAGTGTGTGGGACAGCTGTAAAACACTCATTTGCATTTATTGACTTTGTAAGAGAAGTTTGTGTACTGTGGTGTACTTTGAAGGCACTAATGTCAAAGTTAGCCAATTTCTTAAAATTTGTAAAATTGTAGATCAAGTGCACAGCTGGAACAAGTTCAGTCGATTTATTGCAATTAAACAGCTATAGAAATAATAGTCAGCTAATTTATTAGCCTAATAATTGTTATCTGGACTGTTCCCTAAAAATGATATCCATTTGTCTGAGCTGATACCAATATGCGATGTTTGGCCTACTGCCGATATTTGCTGATATTGAAGTAAAGATCACTGATTAGCTTTTAAATTAAATTTATTTGTTTACTTAAAATAATTATTTATTTTAAATATTAACTTTATTTAAAATAATAACTAAATGTAGGTAATAAAATAATTTGTTGCATATTTATGTAAACATACGGCCATAACAGTTTTCTGTTTCCATTTTATTCTTGTGAGCTTTAAGCCATGTTATGTAATGCTGTTACCTCATCAAAAGTAAAAACACTGTTTCATTAACACATGTTACATAACCTTTTATTATAGTCTTTCTACATCTCAAAAGCTCAAAATGCTCTGTTCCACCTTGTGATGTCATGTAGTGGTAGGTTTCAAGTTAACCTTTTAACAGAAATGGACAATTCCAGAAGCAGAGATCATCCAGGTGTACTCAGACACAGAGGAGCACTTCCTGTAATTATTCATGTGTATTACCACATGACATCAAATGTTTTTTTGTTAGAGAGAAGAAGTCAGCCTAAATATGCAGTTTTTATGTGTTAATGATGTGTGAATGAAACAAAACAGAACTCCAGGTATGTTTGTGATGTGGAAACATTATAGCAGATCAAAAAATAGCGTAATATGGGCCCTATAATCTCTGTGTATGGGAAAATCTTCTGTTCATCTGTTTTGAAAATATCAACCTTTCAATGGTGATTCTGAGTCAAGACTAATGCAGGACCTCAAATAGTCAATGCTCACAATGCTGCCTGGTATTTACTGTGGTATCCTGAACTCTAATAGAAAATAAATGTTGCTTTCAATCTATCCAGTATCATCTTAACAACCTATTTTTTCATTATATAGTTTATGTGAGTCTCATATCTCAAACTCCATTTGTAAAACAGGAAAAAGTTTGCCCAAAGGAGGAAGAACCTGATAAAGCTGCGTTCCATGTGTTTGCTCATCCTGAATCGCCAGCGCTATATGAGGGTATGTGTGCACCTCTGCTACACCTATGTGTTCATCCACTGTGCTGAAGGGTGATGTCTATTTTATGTCTTTCTGTCAGACAGTCGTGGAGCCTGCAAGACAAGCAGAGGAGGTGAGTACTGAGCCTCATTGTTTTAAGGTCCTATATTACACACAATTTACTCTTTTGATCTTTAAGCCATGTTATAATTTTGTTTCCTCATTGAAAACAGACCTGGAGTTGTGTTTTGTTTCATTCACATGTTTGACTTAACCTTTTTATTACTCTGTCTATATCTCCAAGTGATATCATGGAGTGGTAGTTTTGAAGTTAACAGCTACTATTTACCTTTAGTTCATTAGAGATTGGCAATTCGAGGCCCGAGATCCAAATGATTCTAGTGAAATTGTATGCAAACACAGAGGAGCATGCACACGTGTTTGATTTAGCCTTTTTTATTAGGCTGACTACATCTGAAAGCTCAAAATGCACTGTTCCACCTTGATGTCATGAAGCAGTAGTTTAGTTCAGTAGAGATTGGCAGTTCCATGGCTGAAGTCATCTTAAATAATTATAATGAAGCTGCATGAAAAAAAAAAAAAAAAAAAAAAGTGGAGCACTTTTTGTATTACCATATGATTTCACAAGGTGTAACAGTGTTTTCCATTTGAGAGAAGAAGAACTTTTGTGTGTTAGACATGTGTGAATGAAACAAAACACAACTCCACGTATGTTTGTGATGAGGAAACAATATTATAACAGATCAGAAAATAGCGTAATATGGGCTCTTTAAAATGCTTAAATTAAATATTCCAGGACAGCTTGTTCAGTTCAGCAATTAGTGAGTTTAACCCTCCCTCACCTTTGTCTCAGATATCTTAACATGTGATCAGATATCTTTTGGTAGGCCTAATAATGTTTCTTAATCACCTTGACATATGTGACTTCCCTTACAGAAACTTGACACATGCAGTTGTTGGAGTACACACTTTGCTGATGATGTTATTTAAGAATACCTCTGATGTGTGTGTATGTGTAGGATCGCATTAACAGGGAGGTGGTGAACGTGACTACTTTGCCCATCCCTGCAGAGTTGGCAGCACTACTCCAGACTGCCTCAGGTACACCCAAAATGTTTAACATTAAATCAAAGTACTTTCTCTTAAATTACCATGTTGCCTTATATCCCTCAGTGGTCCAGTTAGGTTCCATAGTGGTCCATGGGTGTATACTAGCTTATGTGCTCTTATACTTGTTCTGATACAGCTCATTCTAAAGATATTCAGGAAAGGTTCTGTGAATGTGACTTTTTTAGTTCAATTTTTTTTTAGTATTGATTAGTGTCAAATGTATCAAAAATCAGATACTAGTTTCAGTATATGAGAAGGAGCAATAATAGCTTTCTAATATAAATATTTACTTATCCACATTTGCAGATGCTCTACTCAAGGTGCTTTACAAAGTATTCGCTCACGGTGTTATAGAAGGGTCACTATACTGAGTTTATGCTCATAATAATAAACATAACAGCCACATTTGCCATTTGTCTTTATTTTTTCAATGATCCCTTTTCTAAAGTGCAAAATACCAATTTATGCGTACATAAGTACAGCTGCAATGTGAACAACAGCCTGGTGGAGTAGTAAAAAAGAATGCCCAAACAAAACTACGCTATTTTTAATTGCATTGCAGTGTTATAGTTTTAGTCCTTTCTTGTTCTGTGAAGCACTTTCAGTGAGACCCTGCTTTATGTTGTGCACTACAATTTTTTTTCTACACAATAAATAAAACTATGCAGTAAAGTTATTGTTATTTTTTGGCAACATTAAGAACCATACACAAATTATTGGCTGTGTTCTACAGTTTACTTTGTGCTGTTGTAGGGCAGAGCTCTTGCTCTGCAGTCTTTTAGCATGGACTGGACTTATTTTTAAATTTGAACTTTTGCCAAGCGAGTCCTTACCTGTGTGTGTATCTGTGTGTGTAGGGGGTACAGAGCTGCATTCGGACTGCCTGGCCGTGGTCCAGGCTCCCACAGTCCAGGTGGAGCCTCAGCTCACTCTGCCTCTGGACATCAACAACTACCTCATGACTCACTACGTCCGCGCCATCTTCAGGGTACCACACATCACATGATTCACTTCAGTCCTGGCAACAGTTATTCAGTGCCATTTTTTACTGTGTCAATCAATCTGCTAAGATAAATGTAATGTGCCTGCTATTGTATACCATGTTACTGACAGGATCCATTGTTTGGGATGCTGACTGCACCTCTTGAAAACTCCCTGCTGAGATTGGACGATGAGCTGAAGTATGGAGCTGTTAATATTTTCATTCTGGTAAGTGTTGTGCAATATTCTTTCAGATTAGACTGTGACCTTACCACTTTGACCATTTATTTCTGCCCCTTGTCAATGCCCGATCTCAGGGTTGGGCCTGGTCATTATTTATATGGATGACCAGACCACTGGGAATACCAGGTGCCACTGTGAGACAGCATAAATCATGTAAAATCCAGTGTATTATTATTATTATTATTATTATTACATGTTTAATCTTTTATGTGCATGAAAGGACTGCACAATGCAGAGCAAAACAAGTATTCCAGTGTCAACTTATGCAGTATCCTTATGGCAAGAAACTAAACATGGACACATCGTATTGTATTTTGCATTCATGTAATTGAACATGCTAAGTAATATCAAATAGTATTAGAATAATTACACAATCTCAAAATTCAATTTAATGGTCAGATATGAATTATTTCACATCAGTTTAATGCCATTTCTTTCATTATTTTCTCAGATTTTAAGGTTCATGGGTGACCCTAACCTCAACGGAGCTCAGGAGAATCTGTTTGGAAATTACATCATCCAGAGAGGATTGGCCCACCCTAGCCTCCGAGACGAAATTCTAGCACAGGTCATCAATCAGGTGAGCTCCAGCTGTTTACAGCTGTTTTCATTCGAAAAAGGGAAGCACAAACATCTAACTTTATATCATTATCAGTGCTGGATATGTTTTTATTTTGCACTGCTCCAGTCTGTGTACTCATGTGTTATTCCCAGTTTATCCTCAGTGCATCAGACGTGTCTTTTTAAAATGACAGATAATTTTCAGGCCTTGCTATAGCTTTTAAAATATTAATATTGATTTAGTTTAAGACCAGATATCAAATTTAGCATTTTGTATCAGCTGCAGAAACCCATGTGGGACCATGCAAAACAGATATATGCTACATGCACTGGTGACGTAATGTTGTGTTTGTTTATTTAAAGGTTTGGAGGAATCCCAATGCTTTGAACTCAGAGCGGGGCTGGCTGCTTCTCTCCTCCTGCCTCTCTGCCTTCCTCCCTTCTCAAAGACTGGCCAAGTACCTGCTCAAGTAAGACATTGACTTGGTACCTGTTTTTTAGTGAAAACGTGAAAAACAGAACTAGTTAATTTCAAATGGTTTACAGTGGTCCAAAGTTATTACTCACTTGGTTGTGCAGTAAGTTAGACAATGTAAAAACCTTCACTGTATTTGTCATAAAAAAGAATTTCTAACCTGAGCTTTGCCGGTTGTTGCAGGTTTGTCTCGGACTATGGCCTAGAAGGCTTCGGCTGTGTGTGCCAGCATCGCCTTCTCCAGGCTCTACAGCGCCTCACGCTGGGGGGGCCGGAGTATGTTAGGACCTACCCCCCCTGTCTGCTGGAATGGACTGCCAATCGCAAGAAAGCCCACACTGTCCTGCATGTGCATTGTTTTGATGGTACCAACTTTATTCTTGTTAAAGAATGCATTTTGAGTTTTTCCCCATAGAAAATAAGGTCTTCAGTGTTTCTACTGAGATATTTATCCTGTCATAACTCGAGAAGTAAGAGCCATTAGCATGTTCTTCGGCGGCCCCTCCCAGTATCACAACTCTTTCTGAGCAAAAATGTTTTTAAAGGCCCAGTCCTTGTTTTTTCCATGTATCTGAGCAAAAAGTGTCTTGCCTCAGTACAGATATTGTAAGTAGCTCTTGAGGTCAAAATAAGTCAGATGCATGCTGTCTGTATCTAATATAAAGTGTTTTATTATCCATTAGGCACTGTGTGACGTGTGACGTGTGTGTTAGCATGCTAGTTGTTGTTAGCTTTACCGTCACACAAAACTCAAAACTCAGCTCTGGTCTCTAAGAGTTGTGAAAAGTACTTATAAATGCTTTGCAATAAATGAGCAGGGTGCTTGGAATGCATAATGTAAGTGAAGAATGACTGCAAACTATTTTAAATGAACTTTTAAGTTGAGCAGGCATCTGAAGATAGATTATCTACTTTGTATGTCACAGGTATTGCATTTTATGGGACTAAAGACATACCGCATCAGCCTGACAGGTTCATGCAACATAAAAAAAAATAGATAGTCATCCAATAGCTTACAACATCTTTTCCTGGGGTGAGAGTCAGGTGAAGCTGAATTCAAAGTGCCCATAGGTAATTAATGAGAGTGTGAGAGCATGTCCGTCAGTGTCTGTCTCCAAGTGTTGGCTAAAGTGTAAAGCACCAGCCCCCACAAGTGTTTAATAGTCAGCAAATTCATTATTTAGGTTTAGCGTTTCAAATGACCCTTTGGAACAAACTAAATTGGGTTTATTTATTTATTTATTTATTTATTTATTTATTTATTTATTTATTGAGACAGGGACAGTGCGTGATATACATTAACCTTAAGAGGAGAAATGCATTCTACCAGGTTGTAGCACCAGTGTTAATTTCCACCTGTAGTCCCTGGGCAGGGTCTAAACAATAACAAACAAGATTACAGTACTTCACTGGCAAGTGTCAAAAGCAGACTTGGATGTGGCCAGAACTTAACCAGTTCTTCAACTAACTAGGACTTAAACAGGACATGGCCAGGTCTAAACAAGAATGGCATTAGCTTTAAACTTAATTCGAACTAAAAGAGATGGGCAGCAGGGAGAAGCAAGTAATCTAAAAACAAAAACAAAAAACATTATTATTATCTCAAAGGTGCAGGTGGTTGTATAGCTCCAAAATACATAAAAACAGGCATTCTGATTGACTTAATACCATACTGTGAAACATTCCAGACAAAGCAATAACATCTTCGGAGAAAAGCATTTGACGGACCCTCCACCAGAAAGGTTACACAATGCACCTTTAATTTCACATGTATCTAAAGCACAGAATTAATATAAAACAGAAAACACATTGACTATAGATATATAGATATAGATATAGATATTAATATTCAATCCCATTCATTTAATAGGACATAAAATAACTGACATTTTTGTAGACACGTATTCTATTTTCACTTGCGTTAATAGGGTAATCTACTTAAAACAGTGCTGTGATGATAGGCTTAGAGGAAATTACTTGGACTCAATAGCTCACGCATCACAATATATTATAATAGCAAAGAGTAAAATATATAAATGGTTATAATATATTCTAAATAAGTAGCAAGAAAAATAGCAAATGGTTTGATGTTTTCTGATGTCACTCTTTTGTGGTCAAGCAGTTGTCATTTGTCAAAACAAAAGCCCTGTTTTTTTGTAGTTTCTTTCTCTCATTACAATTTTAGATGGTTATCTTTGATGGATTTAAAGCTGTCTCACTTATAAAGTTTTTCACGTGTGTGTTCTTCAGGTATGTCCTTCCTGTGCCCCTTACACTCCTGGACGACTGGAGAAGAGATGGCCAAAGATATCCTCACACACAGGTGACTTTTAAACTACATTGATCTGAAATGGTAGTAGTGTGTTTGAGTAAGCCAAGGTTTGGAGACAGTCTGCTCTCACAAAAATAACTTTACATGCCACTTGATAGTTGTAAAACTATGATATTTACAACCTAACTCTGTAAAGAAGACATGTTGTGTTTGTGTCTGCTCTATAGTTGTAATCTATGACACCCACGGATCATTCTGTTATCATTTGGACATTTTAAGTCACAATATTCATCTTAAACTACTTCATAAAAGAAATTAGTCCATTGGCTTTCATGTTAGAAACCGGAGGTGCCCAGTGGGAGCTGATGTTGCCGTAATGCAGGGGTGGAATGTAACAAAGTAAGAGTACTGTACTTTACTTAAGCACATTTTAAAGTGGATACTTTTTACTTTGAGTTTACTACAGTTGAGCGCAGGTATTTGTACTTTTGAACAGAGCTTAAAAGTATTTTTTATTATAGTTTGAGACCTACTGAAACGCCTGAAGGTTCATTTTTAACATGTTCATCAAAAATATACAAATTTAAAAAAGATTGAGCACAAATCTTTATTAAAATCACCACATCTGAACCTTTATAAGATCTCAAAATTTGCATGAAATATTTTTACAATTACTCTTTAAGTAAATTTTTTAATGAGTACTCTACTTAAGTAAAAGTACTTTTATACTTTTACTGAAGTAGATTTTTTAATGCAATAATGCAATTTAAAACAGTGTTTGATTGGAACAATGACATCTTAAAATGCAAGAGTATAAAGATTAGCAACTAAACAACTATAACATGGTTAAAAACTGTAAAAGGTTTTGCACAATAGGTCTACTTTAAAGTTAGGCAAGTTGCTTTTATTGTTAAGGTTAGGATCAGTCTCCAGGAAATGAATGTAAGTCAATGTAATGTCCCTACACAACATGTATGTGTGCAGAGGAGTGAGTGAGGGTCGCCAGGGCTGGTCCGTGTTGCTGAAAGAGCCTGCTCAGTGGGTAGAGCTGGAGGGTTCAGACTACGTCCTGGATCTGCTATCGGACCTGGAGCTGCCTGCGGACTTCCCCAAACACAACAGCTACTTTATCATCTCAGCTCAGAACCCCAGCCGCGTCAGGGCCAACGCCAGCATGTAAGTACACTCACTGCTGGAACTTTGCACAGTATACAGGGAGGAGAACGTGAAGGCCCAAGTCACATTTTTACTTCAGATCAGTCGGTTTAATCCCTCATTTGTCCAGGAGTGGTTCATGCATGGAAGGTTTCAAAGGTAGTATGTTAGACAAAGTTTTTGAAATCTGCACACTTCACCTGTGATTCAAAACCCATTTTTAGCAATTTTTTTATCATAATATTGGCTTAAATGTCATACGTTCGTGTATTTCAGCTTCTTGCGATATGAAACATTTTAAGGATTGCTTTCCTTGACTGATCAGCCAATCCTTTCTGTATTCTGTTCGAACTATAGAGCGTGACAAACCACCATTCTGCAGATTCTGCAGTAATCCTCATCATTTCTTAGTATTCTGTGGTTTTTTTTTTTTTTTTTCAGTTTCTTACATGCAAGCTGCTATGTATGTCTGACAGAAACAGACCATGTGTTTTTCTGATTGCTTTAACCACCTGTCAATTACTCTTTTGGGAAGATATAATACCGTTCAGACCCACACGTAAAATTTTGTCAAAGCATGTAGTATTAAAATTGGCAATAACTATGGCAACGGTGGGGGTGGGGATGGCAAAATGGCTGCACAGCCCCTGTTGGCATCTTGAATGAAGGAGGTTACTTTACTCCAACATGCATGAATAACAACTTTGAGTGAGTTAATGAGAAGGGAAAACAATAATAACACTTTTTGCATGATATTTCTCTCTAAATTTTGCTTCGGATGTTTTTCCAGAAGCCTCCTGGGTGGTGGATTTGATAAGAAAGATGATGTCATATCTTCCATTATTCCAAACTCTGAAGTTGGTCATGGTAAAGTAAAGACATTATTATCATTATTATTATTATTATTATTATTAGAGAAAATGCAAACATCAAACATTGGGGCATATTGGCTTTAAACAATATTTAAACACAGTGGGGAGACCCAGAGAGTACTGTGTTGCTTTGTTGTAATGTAATGTGCCTGGTGCCTGTACAGATATGGAGCCACAGAGGGGGATGGACCGATACCTGGACAGTCTGTTTGACCCTGTACTGGACGACGCGACTGTAGTAAGTTCACATACTCTTGTACCAAGCGATTCCTCTTGGTTTGTTGTTTTAAAGTGACTGTACTTGATTATTTTCTGTGTAGTTTAGCAAAATTTGTTTTATGCTAGTACAGATCTATTTTATAAGCAGCAGTTAGCATTATGGTGACAGCAAAAATATAAAAAAGCTTTTGAAAGGTAGGTGGCACAGAGGCTGAGTGGCAAGCACTCATCCCTCACACCAAGAAGGTTCTGGGTTCGATCCCCGGGTCGCCCAGGCCTTTCTGTGTGGAGTTTGCATGTTCTCCCCGTGTTTGCGTGGGTTTGCTCTGGGCATTCTGGTTTTCCCCATCAACCTAAAAAACATCCAGGAAGAATAGCTGATAGCTAATGGGGTCAATTAAATTCAGCAACCAAACTGTGAAACATGCTTATAAAGTCATTGTGGTGAATATTTAAGATGTTATGAATTCATAAGGTAACTGAGGAATAACTTTGAACTTCTGCAAACAATTTTAAATAAACTAATATGTCAGTGTTTTTGCATTTTGAAGTATAGAGTTCAGCACCTGCTTGTTTCTATGTGATTGCTATCCTTGGAATGTTCCATGTAATGGCTTTAAACTTATCTTGCTTTTTTTATTACAGGCTTCATTGCTACAAAAACAATTTAAAAACTTAGTATAGTGGAGTTTGCATGGGTACCATGTTGACATATTAACCCAAACACAGCTTATATTATTTCCCAGACTTTATCAAAGATGTCAAATCAAATAAATCTCACAAAATGAATGAGATGGATGAGTCTGCCTCCGGCTACGCAGACTCTTGATTTTTGGAGCAATTGAGGACAAGTAAACCCTCAGATCTTCTACATGCAAATATGCCCTGTATTTTTTCTTCATTGCAGTCAAGGTGAAAAAGGATGACGTGCATAAGTAGGTGGTAAGGAAGTGTAGCAATATTTGCACAGTTTTAGCTGTCAGTTCAGGATAGTTTTGTGTGTGAGAGAGCCAAAAGTTAGTAGGACTCACCTTGTAGGAATTTGGCTCTCAGTGTCCTATCACAGGATACTTTTAGCAGTTGTTCTTCTGCCTTATTTGTAAGGCTGTTTGCTATTAATCCACGTGCAAAGGGATCGCACACCCAGTCCCAGGCATCAATATTCACATGGGAAAAGTACGAGCTGGGATGCTTTTGCAGTGACGTGAGGTGACAGTTCACACAATATCCACAGACAAGTTCTCAGTATGAACACATTCACTTAGTTGGGGGAATATGTCCATTATTCTGTCTTGTATCCTCCTTACACAGAGGTCTGTTTTCTTCATGAAAAGATTCATGCAGAGATTTTTTTTTTTAAACTAACGTTAAGATGTGTGCTCTCTTTGGATGGAGAGGTTGAGGAGTATTGAAGACGTCTTCAAGATACGCCAATTTAGCTACACTCTGGATCAGTGAAAAACTGCGTGTGGTCAGGTTTATGCTTTCTTAAAAACTGCCATTTCTTTGCATAACTCAAAGACCCACAGTAAAACTTTACCTTGAGAAAACCACCTGTGGGTTTGTTTTTTGTGTTATATTCAACATACATTTTATTTAAATTGAATTGAATTAATAGTGATTTAAATCTATTCCTTTATGATACTACTAGTATATGGCACTTGAAAAATAAAATATAAAAATAGTAATATATATTTTTTATTACCGGACCCCCTTTGACAACCACTGCTCTATTAGAACACACTACTTCCTGGTTTGCAGATGATAAACACATATAATATAGTAAGATGCAGATAGCTGTCTCATTTTGAGCTGCTGTTACCTTGAGCTGGTGTATATACACAGTGCGGTTCAGTGTGCTATCGGATGTAAGTGACAGGAATTAGCATGTATCAGATGTGTTGGACAGACCTCACCTGCCCAGCCAACTATTACATTACCCAGTTACCACAACAGCCACTGCCACCAGATCATCGAGGTAACATGCAGATCTGCTTACTGGGAACTGACACTCGGGCTAATAAAAGACTTAATGAGACAAGCCTATGGGTTGCCTGTCTACCACAAGGCATCTCTGACTACAATAGTATTATATACAATATGTAATAGCATTATTAAGACCAATTGTTATTGCAATTAGTAGTACAATTATTACTATTATATTTATTTAGGATTTAGGAAATTTGAACCCTAAGTAAAAGACAAATATTTGTATTTTATTAATGTATTTAATAATAATAAGGACAACGGTCACAGTGATAATTAATGATTAATGATGGTAATAATGGCTTGGATTTAAATTGTGCTGACTACTCGTGTATTATCAAAGCACCTCTATTTGCATTTTTCATTCACTTATTTTTTTAAATTTTGTTTTGTTTTTCTGACTTCCCTAGAATTCTAACATTAAATCCTAATGAAGCCTAGTGTGAAAATAATGCTTGTGGAATAATTGGATTTCTATCAGTAAATATCTTGTTTCTGTGGGGCTCAAGCATAACTATATCTATTTAACTATAGGGCTACATAACTATTTACAGGTTGGTGTTAGGACCTGCGCCTTAGGAGTGCCCTGGATCTGTGGTTGGTTGACTTGACTTGTCAACCAACCACTAACAGGATCATTGGTTGTTCTGGAGATGCTGACATGTCATTTATCTCCCCATCACTGGTGTCCTATGTTTTATCCTGTTTCAAGGACCTGTTTAAAGAAAAAAAATGTCTGATTGAAATTACCCCCCGACTTTTGTGTTCTTTGTGTCCATTTGTACGGCATAAGGAATGTCACTATAGAGCCTTTTTGGACCACCTATTTTTGGACTTTATTCTGGAAATGGTGGACTGATAAACACCGAATGTCACCATTGTTTTATTTTCAGTTTGTTTTTAGCATGCTGCACTTGCACATGTTTCCTACCATATTTATGCACTCACCAATCAGAATGACATGCACACAGTCATATTTCTTATGAAACAGCTGTAGTCTCTCTCTTTCAGTCTGTTCATGCCTTACGGCCCCTTCCATCCAGACTTTACAAACTTTGCACCAAAAGCACCCAAACTTCTCCATAGAGGCTCCATGCTCCTGGTCAGTAGTTGCTATGAAGGTTGTACTTCCAGGTCATGTGTTTGTTTATGTTTTTAAAAAGTAAAGAAACATAACTAGATTACAGTATGGTCTGTGGTGAATTAATATTAGTAATTTAGTTTGTACTTAGCTTGTACTGGACTTAAAATAGGCCATAGAGACATTTGCAATCACTATTAGCTTCAATGCACAGATGAAAACAGGGCCGTTTACAGACATGAGCAGTCACACCAGACTAAAATTACCTGAGGACCTCTGAGTTTGCCGAATTACAGGAGGTTAAATTCGTGGGAATTTTTACAGACCTTTTTACAGACATGAGCAATTTGCACTGGTCTAGAAACAGATGGCATTTGTAATTATTAGTTTACCAGGGGGACCCTAGGTAAAACCAGTCTTGTCCAAATAGGCCTCTTTACTCCTAAGAAATGTAAACTTTTAAAAATGAATGCACTGAAATTGTGTGTGACAGGAGGAGTCTGCGGCGGGGCTGGCGAGCAGGATGCGAGGAGCTGGAGGTGTTGGAGGGGGTGAAACAGGTGGCCCCTCACTGCCCCCTGGAGGTCAGACAGTGAAACAGCGATTGTGTTGTGTTGTCTGTCTAGAGATAGCTAACATGTGCGTGTGTCCACAGCTGTGCGAGTGCTGCCGGTGGGAGGTGTAATGCTGCCTCCGGTGGCAACGGTGGCACCTGTTACTCCTGGTGAGAACAATCTGAGGAGGGAATCCAGTGTAAAAAAAAAGAGATGCGCAAGAACTAAAATGACAACATTAATAATACTTATGTTGATGTGATTGTTTTGGAGATTTTTTAGTGATTTGAACTGGCATCCTTTTGGTTAAGACAACAATCAAAAAATTCATTCTTAAATACCTGAATGTAATCAAATATTTTAGGGTTACTTCCATTTATATGTGCACATAATTAGAAACTGGGGTGAAACCAAACAAATTGTACGACAAAGCAGTCTATGACTAGATTTAGACATTTTGCTCATTTTTTTTCTCTTTATTTTACTTTTTATATCCTTTAAGATAAAATCATTTTCATATGCATTATTTTTAGTTAAAGCAAGGGTTTCATTCCATTATTACTAAGAATATTGTATCCTTAGCTAACTGCAGACTGGCGACTCTAGAATGACGATAATCTTGATCTTGCAATGTCTTGTGTTACCAGATCTTGCTTATCCTTAGTAGACATACAGTGTACACAACCCAATATACTCTGAGGCAGATGTACACATGTAATTATCACGGAAATTACATGTAATAAACATGTAACATATAGTAACACGTGACACGGTACATACATACAATAGATGCAAGCTCATGAAAGAGTACACCCTATTCAGTATCTAAAGGTACATTTAATGTTTTGTGTATTATTCTTTCACTCATACTTAATACCAGGTGCAGCCTTGTCTGCGATACCATCAAGTTATGGGGCAGACCTGTCAAGAGGCTCATCAAAAATGTTTGTTTTTTAATACACTTTTGCTCAATAAAATCAGCCTACAGTGGTCGTACACATATAAAAAAACTAGTGCTATGTGTACGACCACTGTAGGCTCTATTTTTTATACAAGCAAACAGCCACATTTTGTTTTTTTTCTGTTGCAATATAATTTTATAGTGTTGAGATTAATGGAAAAAAAAAAGATTTATTGACAGCATGATAAATCAACTTTGAATCTTTTTTCTTACTATTTAATACAGTATCATGTGACCAACTTTATGAAATGAATGAAACCAAATGATAAATTAAAATTAGCTTGACCTAATGTAGCGTTTACGTTATATTTTCTTCAGCAGAAAGATTTAATTTAAATGACGTATTTTTGCTTCTGAAAATAATGATTATTGATTAAACTAATAATCTTGTCATCCCAAAGCTCAAAGTGATATTGTAAATTGAAGTCCTGGTTGCTTGTGTAGATTTTGACAGTGTGTCTGACTGTGTTTGTGCCCTGCAGATGCCCAGCAGGCTGTTCTGGCCCAGCAGCAGCAGACCATCGCCAACCAGCAGGCCGTCATCATGGTACCTGTCCATCTGGAGCTCCTGCTGTGTCTGTGTCTCTCACTCTGTTCTGACCCTGCATGCAAAACAGCACTGGCTCACTCTTGGAACATTTACAAACATCCAATTTTTGTCTGATAAGCTGGCCAGGGAGTTCAGAGTAGGGGACAAAGGCGAAACTAGACTTGATAGACTTGCTGCAATGGCCTCTAGGGAAAATATTAAAAAGCAAAAATGAAAGCAACATTAGTTAACAGTGTAACTTTTCTAGAAGCTTTAAACTTGCTATACCAATCTCATGACTTAAAGGCATATTGCGTAACATTTCTGTTGGAGGGTCTGCCACCTGCTTGTTTCTATGGATATTTCATTGTTCTGCCTGGAATGTTTCACAGTATGACATTAAACAGCTCTAATTTACATTTCTTCAGTTACCAGTGGTTTTATAGCTCAAAAATATCTAGAAAAACAGGAATTCTGATTGTGAGCGAGGTCGCCGCTCCTCAGATCTGCCCTGTAACTTGGTCTGGTTTGGTCTCCGTGAAGATAGAAAGGTTTAATACCATACTATGAAACATTCCAGACAAAGCAGTAACATTTCCTTGGAGAAAAGCATTTGATAGATAAGATAAGACCCTCCACCAGAGAAGTTAAACAATGCACCTTTCAGTTTACAACAATCAGGTCTTTAGTATTGAATAATGGTGCTACTTTCTGAGGCTTTTTTGAACAAATAATTGAACTTTTGTTTCAAATGAATAAGCTTAGTAATTACAGAGATATTAACCATAAAACGGGTCAAAAACAAACAGCAAATTCCACCACAGAATTCTTACCTTAGACTTAGACTTAGACAAACTTTACTGATCCACAAGGGAAATTATTTGGACACAGCAGCTCACACAACACAATATATTATAATAAGAGAAGAGAAATGGTAATAATAAATTCTAAATATAGCTCTAGCTCCATTTTAAATTACAGGGACTATACATTATTGTGATTTCACATGAGCCTACATATTAAAAATAGTTTCATATCCACTTTAAATGTATTGAAAAACCTTTACACAGCCCATATTATGCTATTTTGTGATTTATGTTCTAATGTTGTTTCCTCATCACAAACAGACCTGGGCTTGTGTTTTGTTTCATTCATGTTTAACATACAAATGTTGCATATTTAGACTGAGTTCTTCTCTCAAACAGAAAACACTCTGTAATACTCTGCAGGTAATACAGGAATTACTCTGTGTTTTTAAACTCCATATGCCTTCACTAGAGTCATTTGGATAATTTCAGCCATAGACCTGCTAATATCTACTAAGCAAAATGTAAAAAAAAAAAAAAGCTGTTAACTTAACACTACAGGGCATCACATACAGGGCATTTTGAGCTTTGGAGATTGGCTGATCAAACATGTGTGAGTGAAACAAAACTCAACTCCAGGTTTGTTTTTGAAAAGCTAACAACATGACTTAAAGCTCACAAGAGTCTTTTATATGTAAGACAGGAGCTTTAAGCCGTCTCCCTGCCTTTTCTTTTCCCAGGCGCAGCAGGTGACCATGAACGCGATGGCCATGGTCAGCCCCGTGTCCAGCCCCCCGACCTCCCCTATCACCAGCCCCCCCAGCAGCCCCCTGCCCCACCACCCCGCCAGCCCCTACGCAGGCATCCCCCCGAGCCCGTACGCCAACATACCCCCCAGCCCCTACGCCAACTTCACCCCCTCTCCGTACGAACCCGCCGACCTCCCCACCAGCCCCTACGCACCCGCCCAGGCCCAGGCATACCCCTCTGCTGTTGCTTCTGTGCCCCAGGGAGGAGCCAAGGGTCAGGCCATGCCCACAACCAGCCAACCAGCGCAGCCCAAAGTCAACGGGGCGTCCAGTGAGGTTAGTTATGTCCAGTGGTGGAAGAGGCACTTAATTTTGTAACTTAAAGATGCACTATGTAACTTTTTGGTTTGGGATTGTCATCTGCTTGTTTCTTACAGATGTCTCTGCCTGGAATGTTCCACAGTATTTAAGACATTAAGTAGCTCTACCTTACTTTTATTCAGTCACAGGTGGTTTTATAGCTCAAAAATACTTAGAAAAACCGGCATTCTGACTGTGAGTGGGGTCGCCTCTCCACAGATCTGACCTGTAACTTGGCCTGGTTTGGTCTCCATAAAGATAGAAAGGTTTAATGCCATACTGTGATGTATTCCAGACAAAGCAATAATATCTCCATGGAGAAAAGCATTTGAGAAAAGTTACACAATGCTCCTTCAAGTAAAAGTACAGACACTGGAGCAAAAATATACTCAAGTAAAAGTATCATTAAAAAAAAAATTGACCTAAATAAAAGTATTAACATATCTGTTTAAAAATGTACTTAAAGAGTAACAAGTAAAAGTATTTTGTGCAGATATTAGGGTTTAATAAATCCTAGCTGTTATTACTTGTTTGTCCTGTTGAAAAAATGTAGTGGAGTAGAAAGTACACTTACTTGCTTTCAGATGTAGTGAAGGAAAAGTAAAAAGTATCCACTAGGGATGGGCATGATTAATCGATTAATCGATAATTGATCATTAAGAATTTCATCGATTACGTTAATTTTAATCGACAAACCGAATGTAGGTTGCTGTGCGTAGTGTGACCAAACAGGGGTCTGTACATGTGTCTCTCTGCACTCAGAAGGAGCGAGACACAAACATTCGGTCAGTCTGCAACGTACCGAAGCACAAATGCGTATTTAACGATGACTTGTACAAGAAATTCCACGCTTTCCGAGGCGTTCGGGACAAGTGTGAGACCATGTGCACAGTGTATACAAAGCAGCACATATGTTTCGGTGTCCAGTGGGAAAAAGCTTTACCAGGTGAGAGTCGCGCAATGTCGATGACGAGTCCCCACCTCCCACCCCCCGTATGGTGTCCTGGTTTTGACAAACGCAAATATGGTCACACTAACCTGTATTCCACTGAGTCATGTCTTTTAATCCAGCAGAAATTGGCCGCATCAGCGACACAAGAGCTGTATTTTTATCTCCGCTTAGTTTATGCAAATTAGCGATGCGGTTTTAAGTTTTGTTTCTGTGAGAGTTGCGCAAAACTGAATTAAACACATTATAATGTCAAATGGATTGATGTGGCTCTAGAGTCGTTACGGTTTATATGTCGTAAAGTTGAATTTATTTATGCAGATTAGTAGTGCAGATAGTAATAATAATGATGATCATTTTAATATAAAAACGTTAATGATTAATCGATAATCGATCGTTAATTCTTCCGACGATCGATTAAGAAAATTTCATCGAATGCCCATCCCTAGTATCCACATTAAAACGTACTTTAGACTTTGCTATTTTTACTTTATTATGTTCCACCACTGGTTATGTCCAGTATTGTATGTTTTTCAAGCTATGAACTGTTGTAATAGTGAAATGTAGAAATGGTAGGTTACTGTATGTACGATGAAATTCATGTGATCTTATGTGTGTGTGTGCGTGTGTGTGTGTGTGCGTGTTTGTGTGTTGTGTGTGTGTGTGTGTGTTGTGTGTGTGTGTGTGTGTGTGTGTGTGTGTGTGTGTGTGTGTGTGTGTGAGTGAGTCAGAGAGTGGACAGTGTGAATGGCTCTTATTGTTCACTGAATGTAATTGCATTGGAAATCAGAGACTGCGTGATGGGAGCCAGCTATTTCGCTATAATCTGGTGTGAACATCTTTGTTTGTGTAACTTTGGAGTTGGAGGGCACATCAAATGCTTTTTTACATAGAGATGTTATTGCTTTGTCTGGAAGGTTTCATAATTCATTTCATTTCATTTCAGTTTATTTATTTCGGTCACAGGTATATTTTGACATTAATTCATAAACAGTCATATTTAACATATACAGACCGAAAAGGTGCAGGCTGAAGCTTAAGCTTATTATGCCTACCCTTTAATATGACAGTAACCTTTCTATATTCATGAAGATCAAATCAGACCAAGTGACACATTCAACTGGTAGAGAGGCAGCACTGCTCTAAGTCAGAATGCCTACTTTTCTACGTATATTTGAGCTATAAAATCACCTGTAATTGTGAATGAATGTAAGGTAAAACAGGTTAATTTCATACTGTGAAATATTTCATGCAGAGCAATGACACATATCCATAGAAGCAGGTGATGGATGCCCAAACAAAAGTTACATAGTGTACCTTCAGTGTCTCTGTACATTGTCCCTTCAAATAAAGACTAAACAAAATTAACCAAACATGTTGATTTTGGTGCTTGTCAATAATCATAATGAATCTTTTTTAATGTATTTTTCTAATGAGTCTTTTGCCTTCCCGTCCACAGTCAGGTAAAGACAGTGTTCAGAGGAGAAAGGCCCCAGCCGCCCCCATAGACAACGACAAACCTGCCAAGAAGCATGGTGAGACAGACACATCCACTGCAAACACTATAACCTATGACCTTTGTTTTTCAGTAGGTCTGGTTTCAGAAGTCAAGTCATTCTAATCATTTGTTAAAAAATAAATAAAAATAATATAAATAAGTAACTCACCTGTGGTTTAAACACTTGCACATGTGTAGTTGTAACCATATTGGCCATATTGTGTAGTTGTTTCCATATTGGCAATGTGGGTTCCATTTTCAGAGTGTTGTGCTGTGTTTTGACGTCTATTAAATGAGCTATGTCTTCATACAGTCCGTTCCAGTTGTTCTGAGTTCATAAATGCTGTACAAAGAGCTCAGATCTGTGCTGTGATTGGCTGTCTGCAAGCAACATACAGCTAACCTGTGATAGTAAATAAACTGTCAGAAAACCATGTATAATTACTTAGGTTTATTTTAAAGTCTGCCAGAAATGTCCCAAAAGTGATCCAAAACCGGTAAACACGAGCTTACATTACATCTTCAGTGCAGTGCCCTTTAGTGCGTCTGTAGGAGCACAGCACCATCTGGCGGACAAATGCATGTACTGCATCTTTTCACGTAATCCTAAAATGGTTTCTCTCATTGGTTACGTTTAAATACAGATCGATTTCAGTGGGAATGTAAGGTTTTTTTGGTTAGCATTAATAAACAAGATCTAAACTCTCTCTCCATTTTACACTGAAGCTGTTTTGTCCAATAAAGTCTTTGGGCCACAAAATCTAAAACTGCTAAGTTACAAATTAATCTTTGTGTCCTGATTATTATTCATCCCATAGCGGATGAGCCACTTCTTTACTTAATAGGTCTATGGGAAGAATAAATGGGAAGAATGGGAGAAATTATATGAAACAATAATCAAGGTTCTATTGCTGTGTAAATCTAAACCAATCAAAGCGCCATGTTCAAACTCTGAGGAGGCTTCTGTGCTCTGTGCATTTCAGCTCCTGTGGTTACATCTCCTCCATCTCCTACTGGAGAAGTGGTGAAGTACTCCTCAACAGATCACCTTGTGCCCAGTAATGATGTCCAAGGTTTGTGTTAATAACTTTATTATTTTTGTAAAGTTGGTTTCAAAACATGCAATACAGTATTGTCTGTACAAAATACATGTATTTTATATTTTTAAGAAATCATCAGAAGATACAACTCCCCCCCTCCTCCCCCTGAGCCCCTGCCTCCTGGGAAGAGGTGAGTGAAGAGCAACAAAACAGCATGTAGGCTAAATAAAATGACTCAGTAGAGTAAAATGTAGAATATGTATAACATTAGTTCAAATTACTTCAATCAGAATACATACTGTATATTATTAGAGACCTTAAAATTTCCTACCAACTCAACTCAGTTATTCTACATGGATTATTTCCTACTGTAAAGTATTCTGAAGTGTAAAATTGAAAAAAGTCTTACAATTTTGCTTTTAACAGGAGACCAGAAGGCAAGTTTATGAAGAAACAGACTGCTCGAGATGAAGCTCTGCAGATCCTGAAACCACAGATGGACAACCCTCCAGCTCCAACTGTACACACACACTTTTACTACTAAACATTATTAGTACTGAATACTCAAATAAGTGTTAAAGGACCTATATTATGCTCATTTCTGATCTATGTTATAATGTATTCTCACTATAAACATCTATACATCTAGGCAGCTGTGGCTACAATAGTTTCTTACCACCACTTACCAAGTGTGGAGTAAACGAATAATACACTGTGAAGATCTTGGAGTGTCTTGAAAGGCACTATATAAATCCAATGATAAATTAATTAATTGACAATTAATTAATTAATTAACCTACCTGAGTTGTGTTTTGTTTCATTCACACAAACCCTGCATATTTAGGCTGAGTTCTCTCTGTTCTACCTTGTGATGTGATGTTTGAATACAGGAAGTGCTCCACTGTGATTTCAAAGACACCTTCACTAGAATCATTTGGATAATTTCAGCCCTGGCCCTTTTACTGAACAAATGGTAAAAGGTAGTTGTTAACTTGAAAGCTACTGCTTTAATCTTAAGGTGGAACAGAGCATTTGGAGATATAGACAGACTATAATAAAAGGTTGCTCAAACAACAACTCCAGATTTATTTTTAAGGAGGTAAGAATATTCTAACATGGCTTATAGCTCTTGAGAGTTCATTTAGCATAATATAGGACCTTTTAAAAAAAAGTAACTGTTCATTGTAACACCCTTTGTGTGTTGTTTTTCTTTTTAATGTTTTCAGCCCAAGCCTCGTCCTGTGGCCCCTGCACTGGCCCCCACCCCTGTGGTCCCTCCTCCACCCTCCCCAGCACGAGTTCCTGTGCAGGATGTGGCCCCTCAGCCCATCAAGAGCAAAGCCAGAGCCAGAGAGCGCCCTCTGCCTCCGCCTCCGCCAAGTATGTCCTCACAGGCAGTCTCATTTGCTTCTTTTCTTTTGGGCCTGTTTGCTTGGAACGGGTCTGTTTAGTTGAGTTGCGTTTCCGTGCCGTGCATGGCTCTGGGTCCAGGGAAAGGACACTGCTCTGTGAGACACTGGCGTTACCAGAAATCACGTTCAGTTCATAAACAGAAATCACGTTCACTTAATAAATAAAATCAAAATTGTATCTTAATTATACTTGTAATTATAACACTGATCTCAGCATTTCACAAAAAGTCATTTAGTAAGTCCGTATTTGAAAATATAAATATAAATATAAAATATAAAAATAATACTGTATTAATTTTATTCATTATTGCCTCCCCCTGCTCTGGCCTAAGTGCCCCACACTGGTATCGAGAGCTCTTTCATGCCCGCATCACTAGTGTGTAACATTGTTTATGGCTGATGAAACTGAAGTCCTCTGTATATTTGCTTCCTCGTATATAATTTCTCTTAATTAAATACTGTGTTGCAGTTTCCCGAGATCTCCCCATAGAGACAGAGTCCATCCAGACGCAGCTCCACCAGGCTCCCAATGAGGAGCACTACACCTACACCAACGTACCCTGGAGGCTCTACCTGCGGAAGGAGGTGTGGCTACATCCTTTTGATCTCAAGTAATATCATTTGGAAGTAACAGTTAATTCAGTATTTTTGGCTAATCTAAACACTAAAAGTAAGTTGAAAATGTCAAAAAATATCTTATTTTCACATTATTCATGATATATCTAGACTTACATTATAACCAATTGGTCTTTGAAATAATTTATTTAGATTTGTAAAATTAGACAGTCAAGATAATATTCTCAGGAATGGTTTAATGCTTCAAAATTTAAAGTTTTAATACAACTTTCAAATCATTGCACAAATATCAGTATGTGATGATTAATCTGATCTTTGACGTTACTATCATCTGATACGGTGATGTTATGAATATACTTTTAGTAATGTTGTCACAATACTAAAAGTTCAAACTTGATTTCGGATACCACGATGATAGTGAAAACTCTCTTTATTTAAACAATAAAATGTGATTTTCAACATGAAATCATAATACGTTCTTTTGTATTACCGTGTGTTCTTATCTAGGTTCCATAGTCATCCATGACCGTATATTAGTCTTCTTTAGTAAACTGTTACAGGAAAGATTCATTTCTGTCCTGTGAATGCAACTTCTTTAGTATCAATACCTGCTCAAAAGACTATCTAGTTTGGATAATAGTTTTAGTATCAATTAGTATCTGATTTTTGATATTTTTGACAACCCTTAAATATAGTACAGGTTTTGGCCTTTCAACAGTATTTACACTCCACTGTCATTTCAGGTATTTTATCCCAAGGACAGCTTCAACAACCCTTTGGTGTTGGATCTCATCTTCAAACAGGTACGATTACAAAGCCTTTTCAAAAAACAGTTACGACCAGCGCACTAATATATATTTTAGGAGTGCATTTCTTGTGTGATTATGAGATCATAGCCCACATAAGCAGCAGGATCCTTCTCTCCCTCACCCTGTGCTCCTTTGTGCTGCAGATTGTGAATGACACGCTGTCAGAGGCATGCGTCCGGATCACGAGGGATGAAAGGCAGAGGATGAAGGCTCTGTTCGGTAGGCTGTCTCCTCCCCTCTCCTCCGATCTGCCTCTGTACAAACATGTGTCTTTGTGAGCTACTGCGGTTGTCAATACGTTTATGGGACGAGTAGGGATGTAACAATATCAAAAATCCCACGATATGATGTTTTCACAATGTGCATCTCACGGTTCAGTACATATTGAGATATTTTGTGGAGGCTTACAAAATTGTGAATATGCAATTTTTTCCTTTTAAAAGCCTTGAAAAAGCCTTGAAAGGCCTTTGGTGCTGTTATAATATGAAGAATTACGATTTACAAGTGCTTAATAACAGCTAATTCTTCATGTAGTCTGCACTGAAAACACCAAAGGATCATGGTCTATGTAGTGCCCTTTGTTTTTTAAGATAGTGATGCATCATGGCAAGACAAGGCAAGTTTATTTGTATAGCATAATTTATACACAAAGTAATTTAAAGTGCTTTACAAATTAAGACGTTGAAATCACAAAGAAAGATATAAAAAACTCATAACTATTGAATTTGATATATTGTGATGACCCACGATATTATTGTGAGACTTTTTGACGATACAGTATCACAATATTTCAGTTATTGTTACATCCTTAGTGAAGAGACAGGTGAACTATATGCTGAAATAAAATTATATCATATTTTTTTCCCTTTAGATCACTGTTTGGTCTTGTTTTGATTTGCTCCTGGTTTGACCTTAGCTTAGTTTTTTTTGTACACATAGACTGTATAAAGAAGTGGACTAAGGAAGTGTGGCGTCACCCATAGTGTTCAGCTCCACTCAAATGAAGCTCTTTAGGGCTAGCGGTTATAGGGGCAAATTTGGGCCATATTTTGATTTACAGACAAAACAGCAAAATAAAAACACCAGGATCATGTTTAATACCAATTTCGTGTATAGTTTTCCTGGCCAGCCAATATCGCACAGTTTTACATTACTCCACACTTTAACATTACGGTAGGCTTTTACATTTACGCTTTTACATTACTTTGTGATGTGAAACTGTATCCTGTCTGATTGACAGACGGAATATCAAATCAGACAGACACTGCATCTTAAAAGTAAATCCCTGTGGTCGATTCAAGAAATTGTTGCTCAACTACAACTATGTCCGCCTGAGACTAAAAAGGGGGCGTGACAAATGCTCTCAAAATTATTCCATTTCTCTGTATATCTCTATATTTCTCTATGTTTCATGCAAAAACTACTATTTACACAGGAATAAGTACTAGGAAACAATGCATCTATATGAAGACTATATTAGGGTTAGTTACTACTTAGGGTTTAGGTTCGGCAAGGTAAGGTTAGGCTCATTCTCCAGGAAATGAATACGAGTCAATGTAATGCCCAAGAATCATGAAAAACCATTGTGTGTGTGTGTAACAGCCAAGCACAACGTGGAGCAGAACATGGACCCAGTGGATGAGAGCGTGAAGAAGATCATTGTCAATGCCGCCCGAGAAACCTGGGAGATCTACTTCTCCAGACTCTTCCCTGCATCGGTGAGACTCTCCCATCCACAGCCTCAAATGGCCTCTTCCACACATTCTAACTTTATGGCGGGAATTATTACCCCTCTCTGTCATATCATTAAAATCACTTTTATTTTAGTTTGAAAGGTCCAATATTGCACAGAATTTACTCTTGTGAACTTTAAGTCAGTTAGAATGTGGTTACCTGCTCAAAAACAGACCTGGAGTTGGGTTTTGTTTCATTCACACATGTTTGAACAATCCTTAGTATTAGTCTGCCTGCATCTCCAAAGCTCAAAATGCTCTGTCATGAAGTGGTAGTTTTCAAGTTAACAGCTAATTTTACCTTTAGTTCCATAGAGATGGTCAATTCTAGAGCTGAAATTACCCAGATGATTCTAGTGAAGGTGTATGGAGTTTAAAAAACTAATTGGGGCACATCCTGTTTTACGACATGACATCACAAAGAGAAAAGAGCTCAGTGTAAATATGCAGGGTTTGTGCGTTGTGAATGAAACAAAAGACAACTCCAGGTATGTTTGTGATGAAGAAACAACATTATAACATAGATCAGAAAATAGCCTAATAGCCTTTAAACTCCTTGAGTGATTTGATTGAGCGTATCTAATGAAAAACTGATCTGAATGAAACAAAATTACAGCTCCAGATGTATTTTCAGGAAGGAATAATTTTGAAATGATTTAAAGCTCATATTGACTTTTTTGTGCACGTGTAGGGCAGTGTGGGCACGGGGGTCCAGGTGCTGTCTGTGTCTCACAGTGGGATCAAACTGCTGAAGACGGTGAAGAGCAGCGCCGCCGCTCCGGACTACTTCAGAGTGCTCCGACCATACACGTAAGGACAATACACTAATAAGGATCTAAATCATTGTAAAAGTGTATAAAGTGTTTCCCATTCATACAGGATACTACATTATACCTCCATTATAGTCAAATTTTAGTGGTCTTATGCTTGTTCTGATACAGCTATCCAGGCTATTCAGCTATCCATTAAGCTATTCAGGAAATTTCTGTCCTGTGAGTGTAACTTTTTTACTATTGATATCTGCTCAAATGAGTATCAAGTAACGATACCAATTTTAGTATCTGATTTTCAATACTTTTGACAACGCTGAAGTGAACGTTCTATTTGTGAAAAGCAGTCACAGGTTTGCCTTTTTATTATTCACTATTTTAACAGTTGTTGTTGTAAGAAAAAAGTGTGTCTTTGTTATGTTATTTTGTAATTAAAACTACAACATAGATGGATAGAAAGAGAGAGAAATGGTTGAGCCAAACTTACCAGACAACTCATTCTCCAAGAGGCTCCTGCAGTTCCTCTCAAACAGTGAGAAATACAGGACTACATTCATGACATTCACAACTGTACAACTACTTACCTTTATGTAACAGATAATACTCCCTACAACTGCACAACTACTTACCTTTATGTAACAGATAATACTCCCTAGAACTGTACAACAACTCACCCTTATGAAACAGATACACAAAATAATGTTGTGGGTTTTTTTAGTCTCATATTTGTTTCCTCCCAATGTTTTATTTGAGTCTAACCCATGAAAAGATATTCCATGTAAAATATGTAATGTAATGTAAAATATCAGCCTGATTGGTTAATATTTAGAGGTAGCTCACGAACACTGAAGTTTTGCTTCGGAGTCATCATTTAGCATTCATAGTGTTAGGTGAGCAAACACTATTAAATGAGGACAAATTCTTATAAAAGATAAATACAGTGTATTTAAATTATTTTAATCATACAAAATAAGCTTTGATTTGTATAATTGCATTATGCTTTTATTGCTGTTTTTCTCCAGTGACTTCCACTCAGAGACCAGTGAAAGAATCTTTTTAATCCCATGATCCTTTCTGATTGTTGGGATTCTGCCCTTCTGCCAGAAGTTTATGATTTCTTCCCAAATTATGCCAGCACTTGTCTTAGTCTCTTATCAGCAGTAGCTCAGTTAGTAGAGCATTTGTCCACTGACCTGAAGGTTGGCGGTTTGAATCCTGTTCTCGACATAAACATCATTGGTTGAGAGGTCAGATCCACTGACCCACAGGTTAGCTGGTGTAATTCCAGCTCCCACAGATGAATGCTGTCATTGCATTGTTGGGCAAGACACTTAACCCACCTCACCCCTAGTGTCTGTGCAGGTAGACTCAGTTAAGACCTTGGGAGGTAAACTATCAGGAACATTGATTTTTTTGGACCACCCTACTGTACAACAACTCACCCTTATGTAACAGATCACCCTATTTCTATTACCATGTTTCTTTTTTTTAACTTGACTTATACATATACATTTATATAATTATGCTTTATTTGACACCAGTCTCTTGCTATTTTTGCTAATTATTAAGAATTTATTATTATCATGTGTATTTTTGTTGTTATATTATATTGTGATGTGTGAGCTACTGTGTCCAAATAATTTCCCTTGTGGATCAATAAAGTATTAGATCAGGGGTGGGCAATTATTTTTTCCATGGGGCCACATGAGAAACAGAAAATATTGTGGAGGGCCGGGCCAAAATGCTTAACTCGTGTGCCTAACATTAATTGTATTTCTTTATAAACAGCAGTAAATAGCATTGTTTTGATAAACTGGTAAGACTGGTAGGAGTTTATGTAAAGAGAGGTGAAATGAAAAAGTGAGGTTGCCTTACAAAAAATGTCCTAAAAAACACTTCTAAAATAAAAGCAATGCAGCTTTAGTTCATGTATGAGGTAAAATTATAAAATATGTTTATTTTGTAATTCCAAATTATCTTAAACTGGCCAGTCAGAGTCAACCAAAGGGCCGAATGTGGCCCGGGAGCTGTACAATGCCCAGGTCTGAATTAGATCATGTGATTTCTCCCACAGTTATGCGGACATTCTGTTTGTGACCATCCCATCTGAAAACAAGCTGGAGTTTAATCTGACCAATGAGAAGCTGATCCTGTTCTCAGCCAAAGCCCCACAGGTCAAACACCTCATCGACTCATTCATCAGCGAAATTAAAAAGGTACGCCACTCACACTCATCATCAGCAACCTGTTTTACAAGTCCAATATATGATGGAAAGAATAAGACTTTTGTCAAATTCTTCTGAACACTAAAGCTGCATTGTGTAACTTTTCTGGTGGAGAGTCCGTCAAATACTTTTCTTCATAGAGATGTTATTTCTTTGTCTGGAATATTTCACAGTGTGATATTAAACCTCTCTATCTTCATGGAGACTAAACCAGACCAAGTTACAGGCCAGATCGGTGGAGAGGCGGCCCCACTCGCTGTCAGAATGCCTATTTTTCTAGGCATTTTTGAGCTATAAAACCATTTGTAATTGAATAAATGTAAGGTAGAACTGTTTAATCCCATACTGTGGAACATTCTAGGCAGAGCAATGACATCTCCATAGAAACATGCAGATGAAGGACCCTCCATTAGCAAAGTTACACAATGCCCCTTTAAGAAAAGTTATCGTCTCTCCTGTACTGTATTGTCACTTACTTAATTCTCAATCAAATTTCACATATATCTCAAACCTCAAAACATATTCATACAATTCATTACAACTTAATTTCTCCAATGGTTGGCATAAACCTTCATTTCCTCTTTCAGAATTCCGACTATGTGATTGCCGAGCGTAACTTTGTGTCCGATGATCATGCCATGTTAAACTTCCACAAAGGAGACGTAATCCGGCTGCAGGTTATGGATGGACTGGACAAGGGTTAGTGGTTCAAATATATGCAACTCAGTGAACAAGGCTGCTCTTCTGGCTTTTTATTTTGCTATTTTTTCCAAATTAATTCCTTTTCCTAATATTGACTTTGGCTCCAAATCTAAAAAAAAACAATAACTGCTAGCCTCTGTGAGCATCATTTGATTGTGCCTGAAAACTTTGGGTAACTTTATACAGTCTATATTCTAAACCTCTGTGGATGTATGGATCTTTATCATTGTTGTGGTTGTGTCCATAGGCTACATTTATGGCTGTGTGGTGAGGAAGAAGGTGGTGTTTTTGGAGGACCTAAAGAGAGACACTCCAGACTTTGGTAAGAATTAATTAATAATAATATTTCATATAACCAGAGGTGGGTAAAGTAGCCAAAAATTATACTCAAATAAGATCACTTTTACTAGAAGTACAAAGTCCAAGAAATTACTGAAGTAAGATTTAAAAAGTATTTGGGAAAACTACTACTCAAGTCAGAAACACTTGGAGAGTAGCTGTCAGGACGAAACATCTGAATCATACATTGTGACATTGTGTAGACTTCTACTCAATTAAGAGTCCTTTTACACTGTCAAATCTATTACTCAAGTAGGAGTAAAAGTATGCTGCTAGAAAAGTTTAATTTATTTAAAATGTTTCTAGTAAATGAAAGTTCAGCAATTCTAGGGCTGAAATTATCCAAATGATTCTAGTGAAGGTGTATGGATTTTAAAAACACAGCGGAGCACCTTCTGTATCACCACATGACATCACAAGGTGGAACAGAGTGCTTTCTGTTTGAATGAAGAACCAGCCTAAATATGCAGGGTTTGTGCGTTAAACATGTGTGAATGAAACACAACACAACTCCAGGTCTGTTCGTGATCAGGAAACAACATTAGAACTATGTACTATGGGCCCTTTAAGTAAGCCCTTCTCTCTGTATGTGCACAGGATGGAAGTTTGGTGCGGTGTTTGGGCGCTCCGGGGCCTTTCCCTCAGAGTGTGTTCACCCAGTAGCAGCCCCTGACTTCCTGTCTCTGCCTCTGGACCGTACGTCGGAGCCTCGAGGGGGCCCGGGGCAGGTGGCTGTGTCTTCTGCTGTGGCTGTGGCGGTCGCCTCCACCATGGCTGCCCATGAGATCGACCACACCATCGAGGTACGCGTGGCTAACTCTCTTTAAATGCTAGTTCACTATTTACGTTTTAATCTAATTCTTGTACTTCAAGAATGTTTCTAAGGATATGTCATTGCTCTGGAATGTTCCATAGTATGATCTTACATTTATACAGTTATCGATGGTTTTATTGCTCATATACCCAGAAAAACAGGCATTCTGGTTGCCTTTCTACAGATCTGATCTGTAACTTGGTCTGGTTTGGTCTCCATGAGGATAGAAAGGTGTAATACCATACTCTGAAACATTGTAGACAAAGCAATAACATCTCCACAGAGAAAAGCATGTGGCGGGTCCTCCACCAGAAAAGTTACACAATGCACCTTTGAGGAGTGGCTGTTCAAGTAACTGAGTTTCAATATTTGCTGCAAATATTGGTCCAATCAATCAATATAACACTCGATATATGGCTTACGATATGATATTATCACAGTACGGCAATACATGTGATAATCAATATATTGCGCATGATACTTTCAAGAACCAAATACATTTTAACAACAGTATTTCTTTGTTAAACCACAAGTCGATATGGAATAAACCAGTTGTAATCATTAAAACAGTGTATATGCTGAATGTACTGCCTGAACAAGTTTTCTCTTTTGATATTTTAGCACATCCCTAATATAAGCTATGTATAGTTATTTTGAAGGTGCACTATTTTATTTTGGTGGAGGGGCTGGAACCTTTTTGTCTGCATAGAGATGTTGTTGTTGCCTTACATTATCTTACCACCAGGCCATGTATTCTTTAGCAGTCTAAACACATGTAACTGAAGAAATGCAAATTGGCTGTTTAATCCATTACAGTGAAACAGTCCAGGCAAAGTAATAACATAGTGTGCCTGGCTGATTGATGTCAGAAGCAGGTGGTAAACTCTCCACCACAAAAGTTACATAGCACACCTTTACCAAAAAGAGTTTGTTTAGCCTTCTACCATATTGTAAAATTGTTCCCTCATCAAAAACATGCCTGAAGAGGTTTTATATATAATCCATGTATGTTTCAGTAATTTAGCGATCTCTCCTGGGCCCTATTTGACCCTCTTCCTTATGGTTAGCCGTAAGATTCTGTACAATGCTCCGCCCACAAGCCAACATCACCCATGGTCCCACAGGACTATTCTACATAAATACAAAAAAACATGATATAAAACTGTACACAACAACTTGACAAATCCGATGCGATGTGCTGTAGTTTCATTAGTGTTATAATAGTGCTCTGAAGGGCGGTGACTTAGTGAGGAGAGCAAAGGGAAAGGGACACAGAACGTCAAAAACAAAAGTGAAATCTAGCTTGATTGATTGATTGATTGATTTCGGTCACAGGTATATTCTGACATTATTTCACAGACAGTCATATTTACGGTAACCTACACAGACCTAAAAGGTGTAGGGTGAAGCTTGAACTTATTATTCCTACCTTTTATTCCTTTATCAGAGCGTCATCTTGACGCCAGCAAGAGGAAACAAACAAATCAGTAACAGTACAAGTACTATAGCACAAACTAAGTATCATATTTCATGTATGTGTCTAGAGTTTAAACTTCTTTATAAAATGGTAGAGAATGGTGCACAATTACAAATATAGCATTTTCAAAACAATGAACGATAACATGGTGATCTAAATATGTTATGTGTTAACCCAGCAGTTAATACCCCATAGTGGTAAAATATCCCCACCTTGTTGTTTTTCAGAAAGTGTCTCCTGAAGGCTTTGCAGAGGGAGAGCTGGATGAGAGAATTCTACAGGACAGTAAATATGACATGCTGGAGTTTGCCAAGAAGTACTTCAGACAGCCCACCATGGAGAAGGGGTGCGCTACAAACATCTACTACAAATGATACTATTATGCAGTACATACCTAATAGTCATTCACTTTTGTAAAACTGTGTCACTGTTTTTAGGGACTCCCTAAAAGGCAAAGGCAAAAGCAGAGAGCTGACAGAAATGATTAAATTCTCCAAGGTGAGCTTAAGGTTGGACTAAACACCTAAATTCCACCCACAACCACATTTTAAACCAGGCTGTACTTGGGGGACTGAAGAACAGAGAAGAGGGGAGGAGGGGCAGGCCTGGAGGGACTAGGAACAGTGTTTTATTTATTACAAAATAACACAATATACAGTAAAATATTCATCATAATTTCAGTCATTGGCTTATAAATGAGGCATATAGCAATTAAAATATCGACAATACCAATGCATACAGCCTGACAGGTATACACACTTCAAACTCGGCCCCTGCAGCCAGTGATTAGGGCTGTGCTGTGTGATGTCATGCAGTACATGAAATTGCAGAGGCCACTGGAGGCAGCACAACTTAGATTTAGGCGTTTTGACCAGAAAACTGCAAATGTATCCAGTTTGAGCTAATATAACAAAAAACATGACAAGAACAGTAGATAATGCCACATACACAATTTAATGTTTAGTTCCAAATAGATCAGATCAGATCCTTGAAGATGCTCCTCTGTTTTTAAAATCCATATACCTTAACTATGCACACAAACAATTTCAGTGCGAACAGATATTGTTTTTAGCATTATAAACTTTCCTTTTACATAAAATGTGTTTTGTTGTGTATTTATATTAAAGATACATATTTGTGTCTTCTCTGTGCCTTTTCTCCTTCCACAGAATCCAGTGTCTGAGTCCCTGATTGAGTTCACAGACCCAGGCATGAACCGCGCCGCCACTGACCTGTTCCAGAGTACGTCCTCCTCCTCTGTCATCCCCACTGCACTAACTTATACTATACACATTTATTTGTTATAATGTAAATCAGTGCAAATAAGGTGCAGAATATATGTTATTTTTAAAGCTACCACTTGACAACAACACAAAAATGTAAATAGAGTAATAATGCAGGATTACTCAAACATGTGTAAATGCAACAAACCACTAAATTCTCCACAGTTGAGGAGGTAATAGCACTGCAACATTTTTAAAAGCTCAAATGTCGATTTTGCACCTTTAAATTTCAGTGGTATAACCAATTAGGCAAGATCAACATTTAGTAGTAGTATCATGGCTGAATTGACTCAATCAATCAACTTTCGTAAAATCTGAGACGTTCACTGAAACTATTCTGGATTTTTCTAAATGAGAACCTAAATTTGATTAGCACGGTATATTGTCTCATAGCAAAGACTGTTTTTTTGTTTGTTTTTTTTTGCAAATTTAGACTGAGTTCTTCTTTCAAACAGAAAACACCAATGTGATGTCATGTGGTCTGTGGTAACAGGAAGTGCTCCTTTATGTTTTTAAACTCCATACACCTTCACTAGAATCATTTGGAATCATTTTACAGTTTCAACCCTATTGCTTATCTCTACTGAATTAAAGGTATAAGGACCTGTTAACCTGAAAACTACCACTTGTTGACATCACAAGGTGGTACAGAGCATTTTGAGCTTTGGAGATGTAGACAGATTAATAATAAATGGTTATTCAAATGAAACAAAACACAACTCCAGGTTGTTTTTGAGGAGGTAACTACATTCTAACATGGTTTAAAGCTCATAAGAGTCAATTTTACTTAATATAATACCTTTAAATGCTTTTTATTTGCCTGCTTATTTCATGTTAATTGGTTTTATCATTCAGGAAGCTTCCTAAAATTGTTAAATGGAGGAATCTCACTATATCTCACATAGTAAAATGTATTTGTTAATTAAATGTTGTGTTTGTTTCAACTGTTCAGTGATCATGCGTTTCATGGGAGACTCTCCGTTAAGAGGCACCTCTGAGCAGGAGGTGGTCAGCACTTTTCTCAAGGTAAAGTCCCCACTTGTGTAAAGGTGACATTTTATTATATGTTGGGTCGTACTTTTACTCTCCGGAAAAAGTACATTATATCTTTAAATAAAGTTCTTTCAGATTATAGACAAATTTAGAAGGATGAGTGTGAAAATACTTTAAAGAGATATTATAACATAATAAGTAAGTTAATAAGTCTGTTTTAATACACTATTCACCTTCAGAGATCATTGATACTTTGCAGCTGATGTCATCAACTTTGCCTGGGTTGTGTGTTGCTAACTGGAGGCTCTGCTCTGTCTGAAGCTCTGTTACTCAGATTAGACTTTAATCTGCATTTTGTTTTAACAAAATCTGACCATGAAGAACTGATCTAGCTGGAACTACAACAAGTGAGCTGATTTGTGTTGTTAAACAAGTCTAACTCATAAAATTACTGTCAGCATGAGCCAACAGTTTTTCAGCTCATCTCTTTCACCTTTTTGTTGAATCTAACACCAAAACAGGACCATGAATGCTCGTTTTGATCACAGTCTTTAGATGCGTTCACTAATGTGTGCATTGTGCTACCATGGTAACTGATGAACATTTATTTATTTCGTTATTAGTTAGTTCTTACCACAGTAATAACTACTCTTTCTGGGATCTACATTACACAAAGAAACGAGAAACTTTAAAGTACATTACAAAACCATAAGTAATTTCACATATAGACATTCTGTTAGTAAAAATAAATATTAAGTTAGTTTTACATATAAACATTGTTGTCACATTCAGTTAGACTTAGGTTTAGACAAACTTTATTGATCCACAAGGGAGATTACTTGGACACAGGAGCTCACACATCACAATATATTATAATAGTAAAGACAAAAATTATAAATGGTATTCATAAATTCTAAATAAGTAGCAAAAATAGCAAGAGACAGGTGTCAAATATGGCATAATTATATAAATGTATGTGTACAACTACAAATAAAATAGGAAAATAGTAATAAAAGTAATAGAAGTAAGGGTGAGTTGTTGTACAGTTGTAGGGAGTATTATCTGTTACATTAAGGTGAGTTGTTGTACAGTTGTAGGGAGTATTATGTGTTACATTAGAGTTAGTTGTTGTACAGTTGTAGGGAGTATTATGTGTTACATTAGAGTTAGTTGTTGTACAGTTGTAGGGAGTATTATGTGTTACATTAGAGTTAGTTGTTGTACAGTTGTAGGGAGTATTATCTGTTCCATAAGGGTGAGTTGTTGTACAGTTGTAGGGAGTATTATCTGTGACATAAGCATATGCGTGACAGTTGTTCTGTGTTACCTCCATTTCCCCTCAGGTCATCGGAGAGTTCCCCCTGATGAGGGACGAGGCGTACTGTCAGCTCCTCAAACAGCTCACCTCCAACACCAGCTCAAAGCCGTGAGTCCACCGCACACACACACACACGCACACGCATGCACATGTACAAACACACACACATTATAACATAGATCAGAAAACAGTGTCATAACGTCCCTGTGGCTCACCCTAAACCTCACCCTCAGGGACAGCTGTAGCCGGGGCTGGAGACTGCTCTACATCCTCACTGCGTTCCACCGCTGCTCCGAGGTGCTCAAGCCCTTTGTCCTCAAGTACCTGCACCAGGCCTCACGCAGCGCCGGGGCTCAGTACCAGGGTAAAAAAAAAAAAAAACACACTCACACCTGCACTGTCACCACGGCAACCAGGGCACACGCAAAAAACACTGACCCAGGAGTGAGCTTGAAATGATAGATTATGTGATAGATGATTTTGAAGTGCACTATATTGCAGAATTCATTATGGACAATAAATGATAATATTGAAATTATCTGATGTCACAAGAGAAGATTTAAACCACAAAACGTTTCTATTTCTGCAATATTGTTAAAAACATGAGCTGCAACAAATAAACAGCAATAAAACACTTTAGGGCTTAGTTTGCTTGTGTAATAGAAGTTACTAATACAACAACTACAACTCAAAACTTATATCGTGTACACACAATAAATACTAACCCCAAAAAATACTGGTCTAGCTTTCATAGAAAACTAATCTAAAGGCCACAGAGTAGGGGTGTACAGTGGAAAAAAACAATATCTAGTTAAATTAAAAATATTTTACTTTTACTATTTAAAGGTTGTATGGAGGATTTTTTTTTGTTTCAAGTTGTCAATTGTTGTCAATGATAGCATTATAGAGGTGCAGTAGCCTTGTAATTATGATGACCAAAAAAAAAGAGAATAAAAATTCATCAACTCTGGACGTGGTGGGGCTAAACATTTGCCAATAGATAACGACACTGCCTCGTTATCTGTTAGCTGACAGGCTGTCAATCAATCTCCCTACGTTTCTAGCGTAACTGACTTGCCTGCGCGCCGCCGGTATGTGGTTTACGTACGCCTGTCACGCAGTTCACAGACGCAAGCCGCACAGACGCTGTTTACTCCACCAGCGCAACAGTTCTTAGCGGCTTTTTTTGACCTATATCTTCCTCGCAGTTAGCACAAAGTTTGTTGCAATGGCAGACAAGAATCTAGGAGCAGTTAGCCGCAAAAGAAAGTCCGTTTTTGAGGTCGCTGAAAGAAGAAGACAAGGGGAAAAGCAGGGAAGCCAAACTAAGGTGATTCTTGAAGATTCATTCCAGCGATGGCGCGACTGAAGCAGACGCAGGGTCTAAAGACTGACGCATTGGTCGCCAAATTACTCCTGGACAGGTCACTTCTGCTTATTATGAAAACGTACTTTATTTCCAAGAGCTAGTCAAACGTTTTTCAGGACACGAAAGCGATATCCTATGTCTGAAAACGTAATTTTCAAGGCAAAGAAAGAGTCCGCTTGCTGCTGCGTGTTGTAGCTAGTTCATTCGCACGGAATCTCCGCGCAACCTTCTCTGCACCCCTTTCCTGCTCCTGTCCCCGCTGCCCGTTCCGCTCTTCCCCCTGCTCCTCACTTCTCCGGGCACGGAATCTCCGCGCACCGCTCCCCTCTCCTCTCCCCTCTCCTCTCTCCTCTCCTCGCTCCCTGCTCCGCTCTTCTCCCTGCTCCTCACTTCTCGTCCGCGAACGAAATGTCCGCACACCCGCTCCCCCCGCTCCTCACTTCTCCACCTTGCCTAACCAACACTGTAGTTAGTTGTTTACAAGTCATGTGCAGCGCACCGGCTGTAAACAAACCTGTTTCTGGCGTAAAGAGGAGGTGGGAGGAGGCGTTTCTACGTAGGGAGCTGTAGGGGAGGGGGGGTGGTTTCACGCATGCGCAACATTTGAAAAAGGACAAACAGTCGCTGGATTTCTCGTTCCTTGGAAAATCCTCTATACAACCTTTAAGTAAGGTAGATACAAGTTGACAAGTAAAATCTACCAATGGAATAAGTGTGTTTTTCTTAATTTAAGCAGTATTAGATTTTGTTTCTTATTTTAAGTGCAAAAAGTTGTTGTTTTTTCTTATTTGAGATGTATTTTCATATTTTACAAAAAGTCTTGTTTTACGCAAACAATGATAAAACTTTCTTAATTCAAGTCAGCTTAACTTGGCTAGATTTTGTTTTTTGCAGTGCACAGATATCAGTATAATGTGATACTTCATTCTGGAATATACTAGTACTACAAGTATTGCCATATTGTGATATTATCTTGATATCAGTAACATGAGTCATGTATTGTGAATGGAATTGTTGGGAATTCGGTGAATCCCTGCTGGTGCCCTGTTGAGATGATATGACGGTACATCAAATGAACAGTCTTGCCTATATAAGCTATTTGTCAAAAAATATACACCTGCGTTTGTTGGAATTGATTTAATTAAGTTTTTTTTTTTATAAAGTTCACACTATATTAGTTTAATGGTGAATTATGTAACTTTTCAGTTGGGGGCCCATCACCTTCTTGTTTCTATGGATATGTCATTGTTCTGCTTGGAATGTTCCACAGTATGACCATAAACAGATCTGCCTTACATTCATTCCATTATAGGTGTTTTTTATTGCTTAAAAATACCAAGAAAATTGAAAGATTTAACAGCATATCCTTGGAGAAAAACAGACCGTCCACCAGAAGTTACACAATGCACTTTTAAGTTTATATCTGATGTTTCTGGGCACCTTGACTGAATTCATGCTTTAGTTTTATAATGACTGTGTCTTATGTTTTAGGTATTGCCAAAGCGTGTGAGCAGAACCTGAAGAAGACCTTTCAGTACGGAGGCCGGATAGTTCCACCCAACAGCATGGAGCTGACAGCAATGATGGTCAGAATATCCAGGAGTGGAATTACTTCTTTAATATGTGACATGGTACCTTAATAACAGCTCAGGCTAAATTTGCATCATGTAAGCTTCAAGTAGGTCTGGAATTTTGTTGAGGTGGGGTGGGGCGGTTATACATTACAATTATCAATGAAGTCAATATTTAAATACCGATACTATAGTTGGGTAGCATAGCCATTTTTTTGTAAATCGTACCATGAGATGCATATTGTGAAAATACCATATTGAGAGATTTGGATATCGTTACATCCCTAACTTCTGCCCTCCTCTCTGCACAGACATGTCCCCCGTATCACCCTGCACTTGACTAATTCTGACATAATCTTACACCATCTCAAATCACATTCCAAACTGAAAATGTGTGTGAATAATAAATCTCGTGTAGTCACAGTGCTGCTAATGAGCTTGTCTTGTGTAATAGCCTACTGGAGTTTCCACATCAATGACTCTCGTGTATCGTGTCTGTGTGTTCCTGCAGGCGGGACGCAGCTCCAAGCGCCAGCTGTTCCTTTTCCCCGGAGGAATCGAGCGCCACGTGAAGCTCAAGACCTGCTCTGTAAGTATCTGTGAGCTCTCAGGTCAAGGTCCTATATTACATAAGCTTGTGAGCTTTAAGCCATGTTAGAATGTTGTTACCTTGTCAAAAATATACCTATGTTGTGTTTTGTTTCATTCACACATGTTTGAGTAATCCGCCATTATTAGCCTGGTTACATTATCTCCAAAGCTCAAAATGCTCTGTTCCACCTTGTGATGTCATGAAGCGGTAGTTTTCAAATTACCAGCTACCTTTAGTTCAACAGAAATTCACAATTCCAGGGCTGAAATCATCCAACTGATTCTAGTAAAGCTGTATGGATTTTAAAAACACAGTGGATCACTTTCTGTATTAAAACATGACACAAGGTAGAAAAGTGTTTTCTGTTTGAGAGAAGAAGAAGAGAGAAGAGTTTAAATCTGCAGGGTTTGTGTAGTAAACACGTGTGAACACAAAACACAATTCCAGGTATGTTTGTAATGAAGAAACAACATTATAATGTAGATCAGAAAATAGCATAAAGTGGGCTCTTTAAAACCAAAAGCACAGGATCATTTCACAAACCTATATTAAAATTTTAGACTTAGACTTTTACAGACTTTATACAGAAACAATTTGGACACAGTAGCTAACAGCAGTGACAATATATTATAATGAGGGAAAAAATATAAATGATAATAATACATTTTAAATAAGTAGCAAAAATAGCAAGAGACTGGTGTCAAATAAGGCATCATTATATAAATGTATATGTACAAGTCAAGTAAAAAATAGAAATAATGTAATATAAATGCAGTATATCATAGTTATATACTAGAAAATGATGTTATTTTCAACACAGAAAAAAAAATGTCTTTAATTTTATGAGGTCTTATATTAATTCCATTTATCAATGCCTGTTCATGTGAGTATGTCAGTTTGCTACTAGGTTTTTGGTGTCCATGTTTTGACAACCTTAGTTACTTTGAATGTTTGTGCAGGTTGCTCTGGAGGTGATAGAGGAGCTCTGTTATGAGATGGGTCTACATCGACTGGAGGCCATGGAGGAATACGCTGTGTTTTTAGTCACTAACAGAGGTAATGGGGTCTAGTTAATGCCAGATTGATCATGTCTTGGAACACCATGTTGTATATTTGAATCTGATTGGTCATATTCAGTTGGGAGAAAAGCACAGACATTTTTCCCTGTCCACAAATGCACAGTGTGTTCCTTCTGCACCTTTTCACAAACCTCAGTGCTGCTCAGTCCTTGGTCCACCTGCTCAATTAACCTAACAGTGGGAGTATCTCAAGGTGGATTCTCGTGAGTTTGTGAACTCACAGATATCACAAGAATCCATCTTGCTGTGCAAGGTTAGAGCAAACACATATAACACACTGTGTACTAGTGAGTATTACACACACCCACAGATGGTTTAATATAACATGTTTTAGTGACTAACAGAGGTAACAAGCATGACACATGGCAGCACACACACAGACATGGAGAATTGTCAGTAAAAATCATATATCACGATGCTGGAGTTTCTGCTGCAGGGGAAAGTTGACTATATTTAAAAACTGTGATGTAACCAGAGATGACTCAGTATCACATTTCCATTTCAAATGAACTTATCAGCATGTGTGGCTGCCAGCACCAAACACAGAGCTCCAGGTCTGTAAGGAAACAAGACAAGACTTCTCCCACATGAGATCTGATGGATTTATTTGCATTTATTTTATCAGTCATGCTTTCAACATGGGGGTTTAATTAGTAGCCAAGATGGTACAGTAGGAAGTGCATAGGATTAATTGCCTGGCATGTGCAGACTGACTTCTCTTTGTATTTTATAGAGACTGATATCAGTCTGGTCCCCATTTTCCCCATGTCACGTCTCAAGCCTGGCCAAATGTGATCATGCAGTCAGAAAAGCATGTGAAACAAAGGAGCTCGTTGGTCATTATCATTTACAAATAAAGAGTTTTATGCTTCATTGATTGATTTTGCAGAACTTCGCCATGATTTTCAGTCCTTGTGATATTTTTTCCTTTATTTTTTCTGATACGGAGAAACCATGCATGTCCCTGATATATCCACCTTTCAGTCGTGCCCATTTGATCTCTGGAAGACTCACATCTTCATTAAGTATTGAAGAAGTGTGAATTCTGGATCTCAGGCAATCAGATTAAGCTTCTGTGAGAGAAGTGTCCCAAGGAAACGGATAATGAGTGATGACCACTGTAACAGTTTGATGAATACTAGTCAAAGATAAATCTAACCACAGAAATGTCAACACTGATAGAACTGGAGGTGTCCTTGTTACCACAATGCACACGATGGGACATTCTAAAACATAATACTAATCAGTGTGTCAGAGGCCAGCAGCAACAGCATCAACATGAATATTTGCACAAGTGCTACATTTCATTTATTGTCCTAAGGCAGGTGAAAGGCAGGTGAAATGCAGATAAAAAAGTGACTGAAAAGTGAGCGTGTACATTTAGGCCCAACACTCAGCTGACAAATGAGTGTGGGGGTATTCTTGGTTCAGAGCCCACATGAGGCTGACAGCTGCTCTCACTGTGCTGTACTCAGAGGCCCAGCAGGGGGCAGCGCAGCACTCTGCTTCTTCTGTTTTGTGAATCGTTGGCGCCGTTAGCTGCTTCACAGGGCTAATCAAAGTCTTGTTACTGTGGAGACAATAGATTCTAATAAGGCATGCATGTCAGTGTGAGTCTTCAGGGTGTAGTCCTCTTGTTTGGTTTCATTATCATTTCGCTCAAAAGTGATCTGATCAGAAAAAAAGAGTACAAGGATCAAACTGCTTTAATAAAATTGGAGACCAGTGACATAAAAAGTAAATATGTGTTTTTATAATTCTGTGAAAACAAAATAGCTACAGTTTCCTGCATTACAGGGACTATCATATTTAAAGCTGTGTGTGTAACTTTTCTTGTACATGTTCAGCACCTGGTTATGTCCATGGAGATATGCTAGGGAGGTTGCATTCCCTGGGATGTATCACAGTATAGCATTAAACTTAATAAATTACTTTGAAAAATATAAGCGGACCTACCTCTCCACAAATCAAACCTGTACATTGGCATGGTGCTTGTCTCCATGGAAATAGATATGTTTAATATCATACTGTGAATTCCAGGCAACGCAACAACATCCCCCTGGTGGCAGACCCTTCACCCAGAAAGTTACACAGGGAACCTTCAAGTTTTTACATTATTTTTATTAGAATTTTGCTCTTCCTAGAGTTATACGATGGCCACAGCTACTTCCAAGGCAAGAGTATACACAATTCCCAGTTTTTTTTAATATGCTTTGATTTTGATTGTTTTTCCGTCCATGAATCTCACTGAAAAGATGTTGTCTAAGGCTGGGAATCACAGGGTCCTTGGCAATAGATGCGTCAAGAATCTCAGACTTCCAGTCATTGCACAATGCATACTGGGAAGGATTTTCCGAAAAAGTGAGCATCACATCGCCATGTTTGTTTTCCCAGGAGGATGCGTCTATTGTCAAAGCCAGTCTTTTCTAGTCTTTTAAACCATATCACTTTTGTTTCTGGTTCTGATATTGTCGTATTTTAGTTTTGGTATTCGGACATTGTAATTGTGTGGTTGTTGGATGTTCTAACATTTGGTCTGTGACCATATTTGAGACTCGGCATCCACATGAAAGCTCAGGAAAGTGTGAGACTTTCATTCTCTCAAATATTCAGGTTCAGCAGTTAGTTTGTAAATGTCTGCTTGCAGATCTCATAAATTGAAAAAAAAAATAAATAAATTGAGCGGCATCCAAATGTGAGATTTTGGGGGCCCACAGCACCCCCCTTAATAAAGATACCCAATATTTGACAAAAGATTTAGAATCTATGACCAAGAATCTAATAATAATACATTCTTATAAATTGAACTGACCCATGAGCTGCTGTATCGATATATATCCCTGCAAGTATTTTTTGATACATTTTGCTAAATTATTTTGTGACAGTGCTACAATTTGATGTTTGTTCAGAGAAAGGAAAACACATTCAGCATATTCACTGTTTAATGGTTACAACTGATTTATTTTATATCAACTTTGCACAGGTCGTGGTTTAACAAAAAAAATATTGTTGTTAAAATGTATTTGGTTCTTAAAGGTGCACTATGTAACTTTTTGGTAGGGTCGTCCATCACCTCCTTGTTTCTGTGGAAATGCCATTGCTCTGCTTGGAATGTTCCACAATATGATATCAAACAGATCTACCTTACACTTACTCAATTGCATGTGGGTTTATAGCTCAAAAATACCAATAATAACCAAGAATTCTGACTGTAACCTGGTGTTGCCACTCCACAGATCTGGCTTGTAATTTGGTCTGGTTTGGGCTCCATGAAGATAGAAAGGTTTAATACCATACTGTGAAACATCTCAGGCAGCGAGTATTGTATCAAATTGTGAGCAATCATGCAATTTTGAGTCCTAATTTGTATGACTAAATGTAGTATCAAGATATAGAGATATTTTGACACAGCCTTTTGTCACTTTCTTGTATTTGAAGCGTAACATGTTTTTGCTGATGTTTGGGCAGGTCAGAACGTGCGGCCCCTCAACAAACACGAGTACATCCTGGATGTGGCGACGGAGGCGGAGCTTCTGGACCCAAACTACAGCTTCTGGTTCAGACGAGTGGTGTGGGCGCAGACGCTCAAGTTTGACAACGAGCTGTGTGTGGCCATGCACTACAACCAGGTATCACAACTACACTCACTGTACTCAGTGGTGGAACGTAACAAAGTAAAAGAACTGTACTTAAAGGTGCACTGGGTAACTTTTCTGGGGAACTGTCCATCACCTTCTTGTTTCTATGGAGATGTCATTGCTCTGCCTGGAATGTTCCACAGTATGACTTTAAACAGCTCTACCTTACAATTATTTCATTACAGATGGTTTTGTAGCTCAAAAATACCTAGAAAAACAGACATCCTGACTGTGAGCGGGGTTGCCTCCCCACAGATCTGACCTGTAATTTGGTCTGGTTTGGTCTCCATGAATGGTTTCGTGAGATTACACGCGTAAACATTAACACGTGCAGTTGAGCCAGGCAAGAGCGCAATCTCACTAAACCAAGTATCCTGACTCCTGACAAGGGTTAGGAAGGTGGTAACATTTTTTCACTGAAGCACAACAGCAGCTGCCAGTGTCCAATAATAATGTGCTTAAAGTCAAGTCAAATTCAGTTTGTGCATGATCACATTACTAACTCTAATTTTATCACTTTTTTAATGCTGCATCCTAAATTGTTAATAATTACGCTAACACAGCATATGATGAAGTATATTTCTGGAGATTAAAGATTAAAAAGAAAAAATTACAACAAGAAATGTATCTAACCGAAAAACCGCAACCTTAAACCGCGATACGAATCGAACCATGAATTTTGTGAACCGCGCCACCCCTAATATCCACGGAGAAAAACTTTTGATGGATACACGTAAAAATATTAGGTATCTGTACTTTACTCAAGTACATCTGAGAGCAGGTATTTGTACTTTCTACTCCACTACATTTTTGAACAGGGCGGAAAAGTTAAAGTATTATTATTATTGTTTGAGCCCTGCTGAAAAGGCTGAGGTCATAGTTTGAGTAAACAATGAAAACAGCTAGGAATGGAAAAAAAAAATTGTTTCTGGTGAACAAAATTCAGCACGTTTATGAAAATCTCTACATTTGAATCATTATTAGATCTCAAAAAACTGTGTGAATACTTTAAATTTTTCCTTTTAAGTAAATTTTCAAACAGGTACTTTAATACTTTTACTTCAGTACATTTATTCATGATTTTTTTTTTTACTTGAGTATTTATTTGCTTCAGTATCTGTACTTATATTTAAGTAACAAAATTGAGTACCTCTTCAATCACTGCTGATACTGATACTGATAATAATTATTTTGCTCCTGGAATTGCTTTTCTCTACATCAGGGGTCTCCAATGTTTTTCCTCCAATGAGCTACTTTTACAAAACAAAAAGCCAGAGAGCTACCTATTTTAGCAGTCGCAAAGAAACTAAGTATTTATAAGAGCCTTGTCAACCCTTAGATGTGAAACGGTTAGAGGCTCTCATCAGTACACAAAGTTAGGCATGAAAATTATACATTTACAATGGTAATTAATCAAATTTGATTTATTCAGCACAATATACAGAATTCAGAAATCTCTTGGTGAGCTACTTTGAAGGAGGTGGAGAGCTACTGGTTGGAGACCCCTGTTCTACAGTAACAGAAACAGTACACAAGTAGGTGTTAGTTTCAGAGTACTTTCAGTGTAGTTAGCGCCTCCCTTCAGACAGATAAAAGCCAGTGTCCACCAGCGTCTGACCACAACTGAAGAAGCTGCTTGGATGAGCTGGGAAAGGTCTTCACTCAGATAACTTTTGTCCAGTTGACAGAATTGAATTCTCTGTTGCTCTGATTATTCTTACCACCTTTGCAAGTTTAAGAATATTTCAAAGAAGTTCATTTTAGTCTTCCAATAAAGAATCTTTATGCTGAAGTTTAGGAACATATTGTGTTGATACTGCATGTCTCGTTCTATATCCCATGCATCAGAATTATAATTGTTTATAAATGTGATGAGTATGTTGAGCGTTGTGCTTGTGAGAGCCCATGTTCTGTGTTGTTGTGTTCAGATTCTTCCAGACTACCGCAAAGGCCTTCTCAACACTCTGCCCCAGGGCAAAGTGAGCGACCAGCAGTATCACCAGATCTCCAAACTGTCAGCTCTACAGCACCGCGCCAAGGACATCATCTTCATCCCCAGCATGTGAGACACTTTACACAAGCTTTGTCAACCTTTTGATTCAAATTGTATTTGTAATATTGCTGCGTTTTATGTTGCTTCAGATGTGAACTGCACCTGATCTATTTTATATATGCAGTAAGTCAGATCTGCAAAATATAATATTATAAAGTGCTACTAAATTACATTCATCATAACATATATATATATATAGATAAAGAGTTATACTCGATTTTATTAGCCTAATACCTAGATTTATTTTTGCTTAAAGCTCTTAACCACAAGAGGGCACTGTTGACTACATAATACAATATAGAAAGTTATGCTGTGATGGACTTATTTCAGAGGTGGAAATGTCATTCAAGTAAGAACCTTGTGGCTTAAAAACATTCATATGATTTTGTTAAACTTCAAAGGCAACTTGTCTTCTTCTTTGAGATAGATTTGTTCAAATCAAATATAGCTTTTACTAATAACAACTGTTATGCTGATTTATTTCAGACACACTGAACATTATGTCCATGTTGTTTGTATATAGTTTGGTGTTTTGGCTGCTAAAGCTTCACTTACACTGCAATTTTCAGCCCAGTTTTGACGTGCAGTGAACAGAGGCTTACAAGCCATGATCACATGCTCAGCCCTGGGATTTCAAACATGTGTCTGATATTTGATGATTGACTCAGTCACTCAGTGTTAGTTTAGGATTATTATTCAATCAGAAAACAGAATGAGCCTCACAGGGGGGCACCAGTAGCTCAGTAAAACTGCTAGTGCAGCCTCTGCAGCTCAGTGAGGGGATTATGGAGGTTCTGAGCTTTCACATGAGGCATGACCTGTCCATCTACTGAAAATGAATAAGAAACACTTGGATGTGTCGTCTTATCTGCCGTTTAAGGCTCTGGCAGCACAGGTTCACTTGTGTAAATATAATATGTAAAATGAGGACGTGTACGCTAAAGCTCACTGGTGACTGGAGTTGGTCTTTCTCTCTCAATGTGTAAACTTGTTAAAGCTGTACATAATAATGTGTGTGTTGTGTGTTGCAGACATGAACTGTCCGAGTACATAGCGCCCCCTCTGTTCAAAAAGCTCCCTCCACAACAGTGGGTCAACATGGTGACCCAGCACATGCAGCAGGTCCAGGCCCTCAGCCCACACCAGGCCCGCGCGCAGTTTCTGGGTACAACATCATCTTTTTCAAAGTCACATTTCCATACTGTGCTTTTTTATCAATCTGGGACATGTATTAGTTGTAGTAGAGATGTTACTAGTAGTTGTAATTTTTGGTATACTTCTACTGGCAAAAAGTATACCTAAGACGTCCAGATAAATTACTCAAATAAGAATAAAAAAAAAAAAAATTATTGAAGGCAGCTAAGCCATGTTTAAGTTTGATAAATATAGATTTTGAATGTGATCATTTATAAATTCCTTTTCCTCAATACCACTTATACACTAAATCTACAAAAAGATATTTTAGATGTTGTATGTTAAATGCCACAGATCGGACCTGTAACTTGGCCATACTGTGGAACATTTTGAGTATGACAATAAATAACTTAGAAGATTTGAATAATACATATAAAAGTTATGTTTTTTTCACATAATAATACTTTGCAGCTGATGTCATCAACATTCCCAGGTGTGATGCTAACTAAGGGCACTACTCTGTCAGTAACGCCATCAGAATTTAATCTAAGTTTTGTTTTAACATAAAGAACCAGAACTACTTGACGTTTGGCGATGTAACACCTTTTTTTGTCCTGTGGTGTGACACACATTTGTAGCAATAACCAAAAATATTTTCAAAAACAGATCAGTTCAACATCATTTTCAACTCTTGAAATCAGCCTTTTCACAAAGACACGTTTAAATTTTTTGTGTAATTCTTTCAGTTTTAGACATTTTCACATGGCCTGTGGTGTGACCTCTTCTGTCACTCCACTGGACATTCACTATAAATTTGCCATGTCAAAATATTCTAATAATATTTTTCTAATAAATGATTTAAAAATGTCTGCAGTTGTCCCATAATACTGTTGTCACTCAGCAGGACAGGTTTCTCAGAAAAGTAAACTTTTTACAAAAATAAGAAAATGATAATTATTAAATGTTTTCTGTATCTTAAACGCTGAACGCTAAAGCTCTTCCTGCTGCATAAATGTCAGATGAGCTCCTTAGCTTTTGAATAAATGTTTTTTTACATCTGTGATTTTGATTACATCATAAAGGTGTAATATTATTAGAGAGAACTGTTAGTGTCACACCTCAGGACATTTGAGTGTTTTTTGTTGAAATACTGAAAAATTAAACACAGCTTCATTCTTAAACTATATGTAATTTATAGAATATGTATTTGTCCACAGTTGAGGGTTTTTGGAGGAAGAAAAATGTTACTTAGAAAGTCATTTTAGGTCGATTTACACTCAAAATGGGCATCATGTCAAGTAACCACAGATACATTATTTTATTTCATTCAATTTTATTTCATGTGTTACTAATGACCCTAGTGCTTGTCATTATGTGTGGAGTTGCCCTGTACGTGAGCTGAGTGCTGTGTTTTTTGGCTCGGTTGCTTCTCAGGCCTGGTCAGCGCCTTCCCCATGTTCGGCTCCTCCTTCTTCTACATCCACAGCAGTAGCTCCACCTCCTTCTACGCCCCCTGCATCATCGCCGTCAACCAGCACGGACTGCACTTCCTCCACAAGAACACACACGTAAGCACACACATGCACACACACACACACACACACACACAAGAACAAGTACATTGATCTTTGATTTCCTCACCTTAAATTACAATATTTTTTGATCTATGTTATAGTGATGTTTCCTCATCACAAATAGACCTGGAGTTGTGTTTTGTTTCATTCACACACGTTTAACACAAAAACCCTCCAGATTTAGGCTGAGCTCTTCTCTTAATCTGAAAACACTGATGTCATGTGGTAATACACAAAGTTCTTTAATCCAATCATTTGGATCATTTAAGACCTGGAATTTCTAATTCTTGAGACATACTGTAAATGGATCAGTTCAAAACTATTATAAGACCTGGCATATGATGTATATTTATTATTCTAATGTAACTATTTAGGCATCCTATGGCATCTGATCTTGATATTGATGCATAATCTTGAATCTTTTTCCCTTTGGAATGGCTGCTGTCCTGTTGTGTTTTTATGTAATATCTATGTAATGTGCAAATGAAACTAAACGTAACTCCAGGTATGTTTTTTATAACACAGAATACCCTAATGTTAAAGGCTGTAAAGACCACTTAGGTCTTCACCTATTTCTATTCACTCAGCTGGGGTGAAAGGCTTGTTTGTTAATATTATTCTGTAGTGTATGGTCCTTTTGTATGTAAATGCCATTATTTTAGACCATGTCGGACTGTTTGTTGCGCCCTCTCCGGACGCACAGGGATTTAAGGGGAGAGGGACGCGCGCGCGGACTCGCGCTCATGTGTGACGTCACACACCAACTGGGACGCATGCCAGGAGTGTCAGGAGCTGTCAGTGCCGTGGAGCCACGCTGTTTGGTATAATATCGCTGTACCACTTGTGGATTATTGCGCTTCCATTCATGCGGGATTTACTACTTCGCCACGGGAGCTACTGGATCGTGCGTCAAAGCCAGAGCGCGGGTACCGTGAGTAACGCCGAAAACTCTTCCAACTCACGTTGCTTCTGCCGCGCAGCGGGGGGGTAAACTTCGGAGACATTTTGGGGACAACTGAAGTTGCTCGGGACTGTTATGGTGAAAGGGTGGTGGACTTATATTGAACTGTTCTTTATTGTTTTGTTGCACTGGGGTTTGGGGTTTGTGTCTGGGTTTTGGGTGCGCTCGAGCGCGGGGTGGGGGGTATTGTGTGTTGATGTGGCCGTATTCGCGTGTCCGGCAATGCCAATAAAAGCCGGATAGGCCAACAGCAGTTCCTTTTTGGCGTGTCTTTGTTTCACCCCCGCTGATAGGAATGGATCCTCCCGCGTCCTAAAAATTGCGTTGTAGCTCTTCCGTTGTCGAGAACAAGTGAATTGTTACAAGGTGAAAATCATGCTCATCTAATAATAAAGAATTGACCTGATTTTGTCCCTATAAGATTGGTACGTCCTCCTCACGTGAATGTGATAAATACACAAGCGCATGTGCAGGGGCCTGGCATAGTGCATCTTCATGTCTAAGAACTGAAAAAGTGGCTTTAGTCTAGTCCTGCTTTGCTGGTTTTCCTGCACAGTCCAGAGATAAACAAACAATGAGAGAAGAGCTGTGCAAGAAATCCAACTTTAATCCAAACAAAAAGTTTCAGTGTTCAGAATTCGGAGGAAGGACTTTATGAATGAGACTTTTAGTATGGCACTGAAAAAAGATGACTATTGAAAACCAATTGTATTTGTTTTTAATAAGAACAACATCTAATTGAATCCAAACTCAATCAACACTGAAAACTGCTCTTGTAAATAACAGACTTTCAGCATTAATTGTATTAATTTCATTTTAACTGCCTCACTTCTGCCCCTGCGGGAAACCTTGGCATAAATCTGATGTTTTTATTTCATTGTTATTTATTGAGCATGATTTAACCTAGATAAAAGTGAAGAATGTAACAGTATTGCATTAGCATTACAACATTAAACTGGTTTAGCATGAGTGCTGATGTGTCTCTCTGTGACACAGGAGGTGATGGCTGTGGTCCCCCTGGTAGAGGTCCAGTCCAGCCGCACCCAGAGGCCCAGCACAGGCACCAGTTACCCGTACGTGGACCTCACCCTGGGGGATATGAACTCACAGAAGGTGATACAGCTGCAGCTCGAGCAGGTACTGTTCACTCATTCACTGTAAAAAACAAAACTAAAAAACAAGGAAGACAAGAGAGTTAAGTGCATCTGACAGGTTTTGATGTCACAGTTAATTTGGTGGGATAAAAGCTGTGGTCAGTATTTATCATAGTTTTACATCAGTTAAGTGGCAGTTTGTGGAAAAAAGTTAAAAAGCAACTTACAAAAATACAGGAACCGTTCTAAAACAGATGCCTCTGCAATCAACACTGAACATGACATAAAAATGCACACAAGGACAAACACTGATTTACCAAAGTTAAAGAAATGTAATTATTTTTATTAGTCTGATCATAATTATTGTAAAATGTTTGGCCTTTTTCAACATGGTGTACATGTCCAGTCAGGAAGTAAGATTATAAACTTCACAATTTTAAAAGTTGAAAAAACTAAGCAAGATTTTCAGTCAAATCCAAAATATAATTATGTTTATTGTGAAATTTGTAGATTAACCTGTCACATGCACTTTAAACTATTTTTACAGATCAATGTATTATGCTGTCGTAACATACGCAGGGTTTTCAGCAGTTGTTTAAAAATGGTATGACCAAATATTTGATTTAAAAAGTAAATAAAGGGCCACGTTCAAAATTGGCTTGAACTTAATGAGAACAATTGTGCTGGTTGGTTGCATGTCTGTAACAGGAAGTCATTTTGATTCTGATATGACCACGTTATTTTAAAAGCTGGGGTACCCAACTTTCTTTTCCCTAGAGTTTATTGTAGAAGCACCACTTTGTGACAAAATAATTCGGCTGGGATTGTGTTGGCAGTCCCCCCGTGTTTCACTTCCTCATCCGAATAAGTTAAAATTTGTCCTTTTCATTTTTTATTTTTTTTTCCAGAATTAGTTCCTGCGTGAGTGCAGTTTAATATTGTTCAGTTCGTTTCTGTGTATCCAGTTTTTGACAAGCCATCCTCGCACTGGAGCTTTATTCCCCATAAGGCTGTAGTTGAGTCTATAGTGGAGAACATATTTATAACTTTTGTTTATGACTGACACAGGGGCTGGAGCTCTGCCGGGTTATAGCCATGCAGGTGGAGAACATGATGTCAGTGCGGGAGAAGAGGCTCACACTGCCCCCTAGTGAAATCACCATGCTATAACATCAGTACATCTGACCTGAAGAAACCTACCTCCTCTGTGCTCTGCGGCTTCTGGTGGAATCCAAAAGGACTCTGAAGACTGTGACTGGGACTTAATTCAGGTCGATGTCTGCACATGAATGTATCTCTTATGTACTTATAGGCCCGTGCCTTTTTATTATATTTGTTTAGTTAATTCATAATATTTTTGTATTTTTTTACAGCAGTCAAATATTCAAGATCTTTGTGGATGTTTCAAATACTGTTGTAATGTTTTTATAACATTTGTGAAAATGATTAATTAATTATACCTATACATTTAGAGAGAGAAGTGTAAGAATTGTAAATATTATGCTGTTAAATGCTCCAGTTCTGTACATTCATCTCCTTGAATAAATGTGACCGATATTATATATTTTGTAATAAAGTATTCTATCAGTGTTTCTATATTGCCAATTATTACATTTAAGCCTAATGTATAGTTTGAACAACAGTACAGAGAGAGAAGGCTGTCAGCAAAATCTAAACTTTAGAATCCAAACTAGCTCGGTTCTACTGCCAGGCTGTTACTTCCCTTACCCCAAGCAAGCTGGGTTGTAACAAAAATGGAATAAATTAATGTTTAATTAACAGGAATGTAAAGGTAAATCAACAAAACAGACTAAAATATACAGAAAATAATCTAATGAAAATAACTAAAACAAAAAACAGAGTCTTGTGCCACAAAAGGGGTTACGCAGGCTTACACAAAACGGGTGGTAAAACTAAGGGACACACACACAAAACTAAACCAAACCACCCACAAACAGAATCAAGTGATCAAATAAAAGAAGGCACAAAACACAACAAAACTAGACACACACAAACACAAAATGGCAAACGGGCCACCAAGACCAGCAGCCCTGAACACGTGCTGCAATCTCCTTAAATAGGGGGAGGAGGCTGGAGGTGAGGCACGATTAGCCAGGTGTAAAAGTGCTCCACCAATCACCACCACCAGGGCTCCCACAGCAGGATCCAGGACAGCCAAAACATATTTTTAAACACACAAAACAAATTACAACTGCAGGCCTCGGGAGGTAACACAGGCCCTGTGTGTTTCAGTTCTATACGGCTGATTGATCCTCACACAATAGATGCAGCTCTGGCCCTTCCTCTGACATTCACAGTCCTATATTGTCCCAGTCCAGCTCTAGGTCCTTGTGCTCCTCTACTTTGTCCACACTGCAGGTCACAGCATGGCACCTGTAAAAACAGAAAACTGTGGAACTTTTGCACCATTTATTTTTGACACATTAGAGAATCATTTGACTATGTGAACGTACTTAAGTGTATTCCAAATAGTGTCCTGTTACATGCCCATTTTGCAATTTCAAGACAAGTCAACTGCTTTTGGAGTGATCTGACTGTGTGATGAAAGCAATACCATGTAGAAAAAAAGTCAATCGGCCAAATAATAACATTTTCATATTTTAATTGAACTTGTATACTGCTCAGTTGTATGCTATTAATTATAGTAAGGTTTGTTAGAAACATTTTTCAAAATTGTTTTCTAGATAGCCAAACATCCACCTTTTAGAAAAAAAAATTGGAAAAACTGGCAAAGGACAAATTCAATTTGTCAAATACACTTAAGTATTTTTGAGCAAAAACGTTTTGCAGCTCATTCAAGCTGCTTCTTTAGTTCTGGTCAGATGCTGGTGGATACTACCTTATGTCTGCCTGAAGGGAGGCGCAGAAACTACTTTGAAAGTAACACACGTACTTGTTTACAGTTTCTGTTAGTAAGTGCAATACGGTAGACATAGCTAACAAACAGAAACTGTAAACAAGTGGGGATGTGCAATTCATAGTTTCAGTTTTTGAACGTTTTCAATAAGATAAAATAAAATAAAAACTTTTCTATTTGACAAATTGAATCCTTTGCTATGGATTTGGGATTTTACAAATAGGAAAACTGTTAGGAAAAACTAGAAAAACAGCTATGAACATAAACTTAACTGTAATAAGTCACCCACCCATCACCCACTTTGTCGACTTTTTCTTTCATGTGCGGACGAAGAGGAGAAGGAAGAAGAGGGTCCTGCATCATCTTGAGATGAGTTTTTGATGAAGCCTTGAAGTATAGTTTCTTTTCTTGAAGATGCCACTTGAGGTGCTGCCTATTTTCTGCAGAAAAGGGACGATGGATATTCTGTCAGCAACTTTGAGGATGTACTTTGCCAGGTCATGGTCTGGATCTGAATCTGAAAAAAAGAATAAAGAGAATGTATTAAGTCATATAATCAAGCGTACAAATGAACACACCAAGGCTTGACATTTGTGGCACCCTGGGCATATTTGCTATAAAAAGACCCCCCCCAAATTAATTTTAATTTGGTAATGTTCTGACTATATTTTGGTTCATTTATGTGTGGCACTAATTCACATTTAATTATTCTTATAATTAAAATACAATATAAATATAATAATACCAAATTAATTCAGTAGGTATCGGTAATGGCACAATTAACTTTATTGTTGTATAGTACATTGTGTATATTAATGTTTATTAATGTATAATTCCTGTTTATATTGCGTATGTAATTTTAAGTACATTATATGTATTAATAGCAGTATGGGGTTACTTTTATGGAGTTACTTTTGTCCTGGTTAATGCTGAGATGCTTGACAAAGTTTTCTCCTCAGTGAGGCCCACCACATGTCTCTTAGATCCAATTCCTACCCCATTTTTTAAGTCATTTTATGGATCTTTTACAGATGAGCTTTTAACCATGATGAATTGCTCTCTTCCGACGAGGGTCTTTCCTGCAGCGGTGGTGAGGACCCTACTGAAGAAGAGCAATTTAGATTTTAATGATTTTAAAAACTACCGACCAGTGTCTAACCTACCATTTTAAAGCAAAATTTTAGAAAACCTTGTCTTTATTCAACTAAATTATTTTTTAGATGGTCATAACATTTTGGAAAAATTTCAGTCTGGTTTTAGGGTGAACCACAGCACCAAGACCGCCTTAGCAAAGATTTTAAATGATTTTAGAATAAATTGTGATTCACAAAAGGTGACTGTGTTGGTTCTACTGGATCTGAGCGCTGCCTTTGACACAGTAGACCACACATCAGGAAACATGGAATCAACTTCCACAGCTATGCAGATGATACGCAGCTTTACATCTCCATGTCTCCTGATGACACCAGACCAATGGATGATCTTTTTAACTGCATACAAAATATCAGATCCTGGATGGCAGAAAAGTTCCTCCAGCTTAACCAGGGCAAAACTGAGGTTTTAGTTATAGGTCCTGAGGCCCAGAGAGAGAAACTTTTACCCAAACTACAAACACAGTCTTTTAACAATCTCCTCAAGTGAAAAACCTGGGCATCATTTTTGACTCTGAGCTGACTTTTATCCCACACATTAAGAACACTACAAAAATTGGTTTCTGTCACTTAAAAAACACAGCCAGAGTCTGCCCCATTCTCTCTCTGGCCAACACCGAGACGCTGATGCATGCTTTTATCACCAGTCGAATAGACTACTGTAATGTCCTGCTCTCTGGTCTTCCCAAAAAGAGTATTTCAGGTTTACAATTACTACAAAATTCTGCCGCACGTGTCCTGACAAGGACCAGAGGGCGGGACCACATTACACCGGTTTTAAAATCACTGCATTGGCTCCCTGTGAGTTTCAGGATCGATTTTAAAGTTCTTTTACTGTTTTTTAAATGTCTGAATGGTCTTGGGCCCTCTTATCTTTCAAACCTGCTTTTACCCTACAAACCCTCGCGGACCCTGCGCTCCTCTGGCAGCAGCTCCTGATCATTCCCAAAGTCAGGACACACTCACGGAGAGGCGTCTTTTCAGTACTGTGGCCCCGTCTATGGAACTGCAGCAGGAGGAGCTCAGGGCCAAAGAGAACGTTCATGTTTTTAAGAGTAGGCTCAAGACCCACCTTTTTAGCTTAGCTTTTGAATGAAATATCATTTTTTACTTGTTTCTACTGTACACTAGAGCCCGACCAATATATCGGCCAATATGGGCACCTGGAGACATATCGGCTATCAGCCGATATGCTTGCTGATATGGGCCGATATTTCACGTGGGCATGTGATACGTCATTATAAAGCTTAGACTCTCTACATTATGTTCATTTAATCCAATTTACAGACAGCTAAATGTCCTCATATGTGGCTCCGCATCAGTATTTATCTACGGTGTAATTTCTCTGTCTGTGTCCGTACTGTCCCTGAACACACCACCAGAGTGACGTCACTTCACTCGCGTGTGTTTGTTTACACCTGCAGCCGTGCGCAACACTGAGATTATATTCTTTTTCGGACAATCGGTTTGAGTCTGGATTAAAAGGACATTTATTAGTGCAGACTTGTGATGTGAGGAGGAGCCTGTGTGAGCGGTGAGTGTTGGAAATACATCGACTTTGAAGCTAGTTTAGGTTTTGTTAGCGATTAGCTGCTGTAGCTCTCACACATAAACAGGCTGTTTTCTATTGGCCTATTGTAAAGTGACTATTGTCCGTATATTTGTTACTGGACCAGCATTGATATGTAAATGAGCTGTGAATAGACGTGTGAATGATCCACATTTATGCATATAATTACCGCGGTGCGCACGTTTTTACGGCTAAAGGCTAATAGCGATAGTTTACTAGCTAGGAGTTATGGGTCGGTCGCGATCGAAGCGGCTCTTAGTGCCGACTCTTTGAAGCGAACAACAGGAGCCTGCTTCTTATTGGGAGCTGTGTTTTCTCTTTTTCTCACTTTTTCTCTTCATGTCGCATGTAGACCCGTAGTTTGACAGCAGCAGCGGCTGAAAACTAAACTTTCAGAAATCTGCATGTGCATAGGATAAAAAAAGTGCATATTTGGCTGTAGTTCAGCATAAAATGAATAAACCAGGACTAAACTTGGGCTTGAGTGAAGGAGAGAGATAGAAACCGAGTCCCGACACTCAGTCCTGGTTCAGTTCTGGTTTAGTCCTGCTTGCAACAAAACCATCTCAAGAGTCGCTTGGGAGCCAAAAGAGCCAGTTGTTTTAGTGAGCCGAGCCGGTTCTCCAAAAAACAAACAAAAAAAAAACAAAAAACTGGAATACCCATCACTAGCAGTGACAGTAACAGTAGCTAGAATGTGATGCAAGAATGCCATTAGGCCAATCTACTGTATGTAAATATGATAAAGAGTCAAAATAACAATAAATGTTGCCTAAATAAACCCAATTTAGAATCCACTTGAGCCAAACCTAAGTTTTTTAATCAATTCAAGATTTATATCGGCTATCGGCAGCTCCAACTCCCATTATATCGGTTTCATATCGGTCACAACAAAATCCATATCGGTCGGGCTCTACTGTACACATTTTCATTATTTTTTTTAGGCTTATTTTTAGGATTTCCAGTGTTTCCTCTGTAGAAGCCCTCAAGAGCAGGGGTCGGCTGTAGCTGTCGGGTCTGTCCCGTGGGTTCCTGGTTGAGGGATGGTGCCTGGGCTTCATCTCTCCCCTGGGCCCTGTGGTGGTTCCTGGTGGTGGTGGACGTCTCTCTGCTCCTGGTGTAGACGGCTCCTCTGATGGTGCTTTCTCAACTGGTTCGCCTGTATTCAGCCTCACATTTTACTATGTGTCATTTTATGTATTTTACCAGGTTTTTTTGTGTGTGTGTGTGTGTGTGTGTGTGTGTGTGTGTGTGTGTGTGTGTGTGTGTGTGTGTGTGTGTGTGTGTGTGTGTGTCGAGTCGGGCAGCTGTGGGGGTTGGGTAAGTGGGTGGGTGGATGGAAATGTGGGATTGTTTTTAATCTCTGTAAAGCACTTTGTGTTACATTTTTGTATGAAAAGTGCTTTATAAAGTTTGATTTGATTAGATTTAATTAATATACACATATACACAGATGATGATCTACAAATTGTCATTGGTTTGTACATGTGTTTTGATATCCATAAATGCAAATTTTATATTTATAACTTGTATTTTGGTCTTTACAAATAGATTTATATTAGTAAATATATCTCTTTTCATTTGCAAAAAAATTATTTCATTTGTAAAACTGAAAATTCTGTTTGTAAAATGGGATTAGCATTTGTGGGTCACCAGTTACACGAATTCATCGATTTCTGGTATGATGTAATTTTGGAACACTCATTTTGAGAAATCCACAAACTCAGACAGATCCACAAATACAGACACATACTTGACCAGCAGGTGGCAGCAGCTGACACACAAAACCTTAACACTGCTGAAATGGAAGCGTCTCTTGCCAACTTAACATCACTTAGACTAATGTTTACATTATCAAACCCCTCAACAGCTAAGGACTAAACCAGACCTGAACCAGGACTAAAACAGGACTAAACCAGAGCCAAGTGTCCGAGCACGCTTTGCGGACACATACCTCGCTCCACAGGCTGGGGGTCCTCCCTCTCTCAAGTCAAAGATTAGTCCTGGTTTAGATCTGGACTGAACCAAAACTGAACCAGGACTGAATATATACTCAGGACAATAAATGTCAAGTTTTATCAGGTCCTGACACAAAGTGCCATAGTTATTCCAGGAGTGAGGTGCTTAATGCTGAGGACACAAGCTGTGTCCCAATTCGAGGGCTGCAGCCTCCGAAGGCTGGTTTTAAGGCCGCATACGTCACTTCCGGTGAAACAAGGCCTGTCCCATTTCATTTTTTTGTCATGCAGCCTTCAAATGCAGCCCTAAAACCAGCCTCGTTTCCATGGAGCCGCAAACGGAGGACACATCCGAGTATCCTTCGCAGCCATCTGTATCCCAGCATGCACTGCGCGTCAGCAGTCAGATGTTGGAAAACACAAAGCAAAAAACCCGTCCGGAGAGCAGAGAAAAACATGTAACACTTTTAACTTTAGGAAATCATTACTAACATAGGATAGATTTTAAAGTTCTTTTATTAGTTTATAAAGCTCTTAGTCCTATTTATTTATCTGATCTGCTTGTATCATATGAGCCTCTCGGACTCTCAGGTCCTCAGGTAGTCTTCTTTTAACTGTCCCAAGAGTCCAGACTAAAACTCACGGTGAGGCGTCATTCAGCTTTTACGGCCCCCGTTTGTGGAACAGTCTACCTGAGGATCTGAGGTCCGCTGCGAGTGTTCATATTTTTAAAAGTAAACTCAAAAAGTATCTTTTTAATTTAGCTTTTAATTGAAACTTGTATCTGTTTTAACTTAATAATAATATTATTATTAATAATAATATTATATTTATTTATTCTAAATTAAATTATCATTACTGTTTTACTTTGTCTCCATTTGATTTTAGCTCTCCATTTTGACTTTTATGATAACCTTTAGCAGTTTTATGTTTTTGTTTTAATGTTTATGTTTAAATGGTTGTATATATGGATGAAACAATGGGATGGGGTGGGGGGTTGCTCTTGATTTTAATTATTGTATTGTAATTTTTCTGTTGCATGTGAAGCACTTTGTGCTACATTTCAAATGTATGAAAAGTGCTATACAAATAAAGTTTGATTGATTGATAACTGTAAACGTAAAATACGACCATAACTCCCACAAAACTGGCAAATAAGTTTGTTTTTAAAAGTGCGTGAACCGCAGAGTTTTGAGGTAAAGTTTGCCTAGTAATGTGCAGCTAATGCGATGAAAAGTCCGCTCAAACTTTCATATTTGGACAGATTTCTATCAAACACTAATCATGTTTTTATTGTTAGAGGAAAAGAAACCCACAGTGATTTTAAGAAGCTACAAGGAGAAAACTCCATTTTCACGGACAGTGTAAACATGTAAACAGTTGGTCAGTGTAGCTCAGAGTTTAGATAAAAACACGCATTATTTCATACATTCAAATGAAAAGACTCAGTTTGACTCTATCAAAGCTCATATTTTCTTGTAAATCACATAATATAAGTCACCAATGTGTCCATTTCATTCAGGGAATACATTATCTGCGTTTAACAATCCGTGCATGTTTGTAAAGTGAAAAGTAAATACTCCTGCCTGGACAGGTCAGATTTAAGATCGACATGAGGCTCATTTTACCAGATTTGTGCAGACACTGGTGTAGATACGACCTGATTGTGTCTGTTAGGTCTGTCACATCTAATGTTATAACAATGAGAAATCTGTTTTACATGAATTTTCTTTTCTCATCTGCAGCCTCCTGTATGACAACACAACACACCGCTGCGGCCACAGAACTGCTGGCTGACAGGATGCTTGTGATCCATAAAATGGGTCAAATGCAGATTACAAAGGAAAGCCAACACTGAGCTGGAGGTGCTGACACAGACTCCTGCCAACGATTAGGTTTGGGGCATGTTACATTGAAAACTCTACTAAGAGCTGCAAATGAATCATGCTCATGTTGAAATCATCTGAATGTACATCAAAGTTTAAGTTCAACGTTAAAAAAAAGAGTTTATTGTCAATTCTTCATACGAAAAACATATAAAGAATCAAAACTGTGTTTCTCACTCCAATGCATATAAATAAATAATAATAAATGTAAATAGTGCAAAAGGCACTAACGGGGGGAGTCCAGGTGTTCTTTGGGGCTGCATGCTCTGTAAAACTTATTTTCCTCTAATAGTTTTGTAGTTTTCTTAATGTGTGTCATTACAGGTTTTCACTCTGCAGGACAGAACTTTGAATCAATCATGCCCATTCTGCTCTTCCTCCTCCAGAAGATGAGATTCAGACCGAGTGGTCCAAGTACACTGTCCATGTCTCCACTGTCCATGTCCAGACTCACTGAAGAGGAGATCCAGTCTTAGATGATCTTAACAAGAGACAAAAATGAAAACATCTGCTCATAAGTTTTTCTGAATGTTTTTCAGCCTGTACTGATTTGATTCATGGTGAAATGTGCCCTTTATTTGGTGTCTCTTTTGATAGTAACTAATTACATGTACTACACGAATGTACTACAGTACTGCAGATAAGCAGTGTTATTCCACATGATATTTGGCGATAAACCATGAACAGGCTGATAAGATAAATTGCTCATTTTTGATTGTGACTTGCTTCAGCAAAAAGGGAACAATGAGATTCACTGACATACAGCTGTTTGCACTAATGTGTTAATGCAGTGTGTGTGTAATGGATTTAATGTTTGACTAATCATATTATGATAAAGCATTTCCAGAAGTTCCTTGGATTGTTTAATAAACCATCTTTTCTCAGGAGAGATGTCTTTCTTTACAAACTGACTGTATAAATGTAATCCCTGGTCAATATAAAAATCCTTCATAATGATAATATTTAGTAATGCACATCTCACTGTTTTTTTGTTGTTTGTTTTTTTAACTTTAAGATGATTTTGTCTATTTAAGATGTATTCCTTAAATATAGCCATTTTGATTTGCAAAAGTTATACATTTTCATTTTTGTCCATAAGATCTGGATTATGGATGGACATGATTAATCGATAATTGATCATTAAGAATTTCATCGACTACGTTCATTTTAATCAGCAAACCGAATGTAGGTTGCTGTGCGTAGTGTGACCAAACGGGTCCGTACATGTGTCTCTCTGCACTCAGAAGGAGCGAGACACAAACAGTCGGTCAGTATGCAGCGTACCGAAGCACAAATGCATGTTTAACGATGACTTGTACAAGAAATTCCACGCTTTCTGTTGCGGTTGGGACAAGTGGGAGGCCATGTGCACAGTGTACAAAGCAGCACATATGTTTTGGTGTCCAGTGGGAAAAAGCTTTGCCAGGTGAAAGTCGCGCAATGTCGATGACGAGTCCCCACCTCCCTCCCGCCGTACGGTGTCCTGGGTTTGACAAACGCAAATATGGTCACACTAACCTGTATTCCACTGAGTCATGTTTTTTAATCTAACAGAAGTTGACCGCATCAGCGCACAAGAGCTGTTTTTTTGTTCTTTGCTTAGTTTATGCAAATTAGCGATGCGGTTTTAAGTTTCGTTTTTGTGAGAGTTGCGCTGGATGAAATAAATCGAGGGGTTTCTTGTCAAACTGTTGTGGCCCTCTTTATTTTTAGTGTGTTATTGTCCAGCATAGTGTTAGATTTATGAAATGTTGATTACGTGGTTGTTAGCATATAACGTCATTTCGATGCTAATCTCTACGTCAATGAACAATGCAAAAACAATTCTACATGTGGAAATGTTTTCTATGGAGGCTCTGGTGTTACTCACATGTAGTTGAGTGGTTGTAGGTTTCCAAAACAGTCCTGGTATTTCATAGTTTGTGGTGATAGATGTCTAACACTAAACTAGCTCTCATTAAAAAACAAATTGGGGCCAACACTGGGTCTATACAGGTCTATTTACATTTCATTCAAATCGGTATCTTACATATTATATGGATGTGTGTTTAGCACTTGTATTGTAGGCTAAAGATGTTACGAGATCAATGTTCTAAGGTGGAAAAACAGGGTAACTTACATTTTCATCCTTCAGTCTCTGGATGACTCCCTCCTCTGTGTTACGCTCCCTCAAAAAAGCAGGCGGTGGATCATCCATTGCTGCGTGAACACACAGGGTAAACAACAACTAGGACAATTTTACCGTCACTTTACTCCGTAATATTTCCTCTATAAGAAAGCAGCATTGGCTCACTAGTATTTTTATTTAGCTATAGCATGCACACTATGCCACGCTGCTACATGATCCTGGATTTTATATTGGCCCACATTTACATAAGCATACATTTGAATAGGTAACAATACATGTTGTCAAAAATCGGTAAAAAAATAAAAAAGATGTCTTATAAATGATATATCGTACCTTTATTAGTGTCTGCAGAGGTCTGAAGTCTGAGGTCCAGCCAAGCAAGAAGCGCTTACCAAATCAACCCAACACCACGCCCTGTTTTGTTTATTTGGTGGCAATTTCTTAATTCGCGGGAATGATTTTAGTAAAACGTGACAACGATTTAGCTAAAGCGTGGAAATGAATTACATACTGTAGGAATGAAATTGTAATTTGAGGCCATGAATTAATATCTATTTTTGCATACGTCATCATAGTATTTGCACTCAACAAAATCTTCTGAATCTGATAGCCCTGTTGCTGCTTCTTCTGGCTCTTTGAGGTCCCCTGAGGTCTGCTCTTCCTCGACCTGCTGCATATTCCTGCTCATATCACAAGGGGAAATGAAGAGATTGAGGAATGACAGTACCCCAGAGAACCGCCACTTTTTGGCTGTCCCTGCTGCTGACCCACTTCTCTTTTCTCTCTCCTTTCTCCTCTCCTTCATGTACACATTCCTCAGGCTCTTCCATCATTTCTTACATATATCCACTGAATAAATACATAAACTCATCAGCTAAAAACTAGCAGTAACTTCATTATGCTGGGTGCAACGGCTAGCCTAGCGGGCAAATATTTTATAGCTCTAAAGTTGTGAAAACTTACCAGATACCCCCATCTCCTAATCCTCTTCCAGGCAAGGTCTTTTATTATCCCGATCTTTATACTCCGCCAAAAAAACAGCATAAAGCTCCGGGAAGCGCTTCGCGGTGAAAATAAGGCTATCCTCCATCTTTGTGTGGTTTTAGTCCTCCTGTTTCTCTGGATAATGACATCACTACATTGACATTGACAATGGAGGCTGAGAACATAGCCCATTCCCCAGCTTCCCCCAGAATCTGGGAGAAGCTCTCCCGGAGGTGTGAGTTCAAGGACACTGACAACGAGCTCTGCAAGACATTTCCAACAGACTCTCACTATACTCTTGGGCCTGCCAGGTCTTTGCGACCCAACTCACCACTAGATAGTGATCGGTTGATAGCTCAGTCCCTCTCTTCACCCAAGTGTCTAAGACACGCTGCTGGAGGTCAGATGACACGACGACAAAGTCGATCATCGACCTCTGGCCGAGTGTGTCCTGGTGCCACGTGCACAGATTGTCACCCTTGAGCTCGTTATGGACAAACTGTGATTAACACAGAAGTCCAATAACAGAACACCACTTGGGTTCAGATCAGGGAGGCCGTTCCTTCCTCTCCAGGTGTCACTGTCATTGCCCACGTCAGCACTGAAGTACAACAACAGAGTCCCCGGTCGGTGCACTGTCTATTTCCCCAGTAGGGACTCCAATAAGGCCAGGTACTCTGCACTGCTGTTCAGCAAATAGGCCAACACGACAGAGACCTGTCCCTGTCCCGAAGGCACAGGGACGCAACCCTCTCATTCACAGGGGTGAACTCCAACACACGGCAGCTGAACTGTGGTGCAATGAGCAGATCTACACCAGCCTGCCGCCGTTCCCCGCGGCTAACGCCAGAGAATTGGAGAGTCCAGCCCCCCTCAAGGAGTTGGGTTCCAGAGCCCAAGCTTTGCATGAAGGTAAGGTTGACTATATCTAGTCGGTAACGCTCCACCTATCGCACAAGGTCCTTCCCTCCCAGCAAGTTGACGTTCCATGTCCCCAGAGCTAGTTTCCATGTCCGGAGATCTGGTGACCCCTGCCTTCGACTGCCACCCAGATCTCCCTGCACCAGCCCCTTATGGATCCTCCCGTGGGTGGTGGGTCTACGAGAGGGTGGTCCCACATCGCTTCTTCAGGCTGTGCCTGGCCAGGCCCCGTGAGGGAAGGCCTAGCCACCAGACGCTCACCGTTGAGCACCCACCCCCGGCCTGGCTCCAGGGTGGGGCCCCAGTAAAACCAATCCAGGCGACGCAACTGGCCTCTGTTTTGAACACATCAAAAGGTGCTTCTGAACCGCTCTTAGACTGACCCGTCCCCCAGACCTGTTTGCCTTGGGTAACCCTACCAGGGGCATGAAGCCCCCGACGACAAAGCTCCCAGGATCATTCGGGCACTTTAACCCCTCTACCACATTAAGGTGATGGTTCCAGGAATGGTACTATTGGTTGAATTTGGATTTCTTTTTTTGAAATTATGATCTGACAGTTCTCACCAGTGTACTCCCTGGGCCTGATGTAGTCCTCAAAGAGAGTCTTGCCTAGCACCTCAAGGCTGAGCTCTTCAAGGGAGTGCTGCAGGAAGTCACTGTATGAGCAGAGTAGGCACTCTTCGGACACTGTCCATTTCTTACCCCACCGTACCAACCCATCTAGGAGAAATGCCTGAAAATGCCTCGCATTGGCGCTGTGTCCAGAGGAGATAAAGATGAGAAAGAGTTACATCAGTCCACATACAGTATATATACATACACGCACGCACACACACGCAGCAAGCAAGCTAATTTTAACGCTGCAAGATCAGATGGATTCTACAAAGTGAAACCAGCTGATTAATCAGGCAAATGGAGTTCATCTGAACAGGCTCATATTTGGGACACAATATCTCAAGGGGAGACACTAAAAGTTATCCAAATTTTTCACACACATCATACGGTCTCTGAGTAAAGCGACCCAAATTGCACAAAGTTTACAAATTGTTCTAATTTGCAGAAACGAACTCAGATTTCAGTGAAATTTGCAACAGTTGCTAAACACTCTGCCCGAAAGCTAATGAATGTGAAAATATTGAATATGGTCTTTTCGCACCCCTACGAACAAAATTACATTTTGCCATCCTGACCCAAAACATCAATGACACCCGTGCCATATTTTTTACAGCATTACCAAAGCTCTCCATGTTATTCTCATGATAAAGTCAAGTAACATGGACGGATTTCACACAAATTTTAACAGTGGGTGCACACCCCCTCCCCAAACAGAATTATGTAAGAAAATACAAAAATGGGTGCAATAGCCCCCCTGGCATTTTGCAAACTTTGGCCGATTTCACTCAAATTTTAATTGTAGGTGCACACCTGGACCATGAACAGATTGATGCACAAAAATACAAAAATGGGTGCAATAGCGCCCCCTGGCATTTTGCATAAACTTTGGCCGATTTCACTCAAATTTTTGTAGTAGGTGCACACCTGGACCATGAACAGATTGATGCACAAAAATACAAAAATGGGTGCAATAGCGCCCCCTGGCATTTTGCACAAACTTTGGCCGATTTCACTCAAATTTTTGTAGTTGGTGCACACATTTGGGTGTGCACTGGATGCATTGAACAGATTGATGCACGAAAATACAAAATGGATGCAATAGCGCCCCCTGGCATTTTGCACACTTTTTCACTCAAATTTTAGTAGTAGGTGCACCACCTGGAACAGATTGATGCACGAAAAATACAAAAATGGGTGCAATAGCGCCCTTGCATTTTGCACAAACTTTGGCCGATTTCACTCAAATTTTAGTAGTAGGTGCACACCTGGACCATGAACAGATTGATGCACGAAAATACAAAAATGGGTGCAATAGCCCCCCTGGCATTTTGCACAAACTTTGGCCGATTTCACTCAAATTTTAGTAGTAGGTGCACACCTGGACCATGAACAGATTGATGTAAGAAAATACAAAAATGGGTGCAATAGCCCCCTTGGCATTTTGCATAAACTTTGGCCGATTTCACTCAAATTTTATTAGTTGGTGCACACCTGGACCATGAACAGATTGATGCACAAAAATACAAAAATGGGTGCAATAGCGCCCCCTGGCATTTTGCACAAACTTTGGCCGATTTCACTCAAATTTTATTAGTTGGTGCACACCTGGACCATGAACAGATTGATGCACAAAAATACAAAAATGGGTGCAATAGCGCCCCCTGGCATTTTGCACAAACTTTGGCCAATTTCACTCAAATTTCAGTAGTAGGTGCACACCTGGACCATGAACAGATTGATGCACAAAAATACAAAAATGGGTGCAATAGCGCCCCCTGGCATTTTGCACAAACTTTGGCCGATTTCACTCAAATTTTATTAGTTGGTGCACACCTGGACCATGAACAGATTAATGTGAGAAAATACAAAAATGGGTGCAATAGCGCCCCCTGGCATTTTGCACAAACTTTGGCCGATTTCACTCAAATTTTATTAGTTGGTGCACACCTGGACCATGAACAGATTAATGTGAGAAAATACAAAAATGGGTGCAATAGCGCCCCCTGGCATTTTGCACAAACTTTAGCCGATTTCACTCAAATTTTTGTAGTAGGTGCACACCTGGACCATGAACAGATTGATGCACAAAAATACAAAAATGAGTTCAATAGCGCCCCCTGGCATTTTGCACAAACTTTGGCCAATTTCACTCAAATTTTAGTAGTAGGTGCAGACCTGGACCATGAACAGATTGAAGTAAGAAAATACAAAAAACACTGCCTCTGGCTACCTCTCACATGCTAAGTGAGCGCTACCATTTGAGCTTATTCCCCATGGGGGATGGTAAAGTCTATGGCTAATGGCTATGTCTGCCCTTCCCCCCGTTTTTCAGCACCGAGGTTGACGCAATGAACAAAGGGCGTGCTCTGACTGGAAGCGCTTCACGACCATAAGTGAGCTAGCATAGCCTCTTTAGCCCGTTATAAACCATACGGAAACCGTTTGCTGTTGTGTTAGTTCGCTAACACATATACTAAAATTGGAACGATACAGAGAAGATTAGCATGGCCCCTGCGCAAAGCTTACATTTTATTCTTCTCTGTTTGCGAGCGCGTGTATCACAGCAGACAGTAGAATAGGTGTAAAAAAGTCATCATTGCATTTCTTATCTTTTCAGTGTTGATCACAGCAGACAGTAGTTTGTGTGTGTTACAGCAGACAGTAGAACGTGTGTAAAACTCATTGCATTTCTTCTCTTATTGTTAATCACAGCAGACAGTAAAATTCATTACATAGAAGGAAGGGGGCATGACATTTCTTGTCAATGTCAGTGAAAATTGCGACTCACTACATACATCCAGGTGAGCGTGTGGACCGGTGTTGGTGGTAAGCCTCCACACCACGTCAAGGTCCCGGTCCTGGTGGAGGGGAACAATTTACACACACAAACTACAAACAAACTATTTACACCATCTGCCCCAGCAGGAGGGTGTGAGCAGTTCTGGGAGCTCAATCCGGGTTCATCTCCTGCTTCTCTCTCTGCCAGTCGTCCTTCCTCGAGCACACGTATGTCCATCCCTGGCGGAAGTGTCCGGTCTCTTTCCGCCGAGGCTGGCCGCACTGCGTGCACCAGGGGGGGTCCCTTGCTGTAGGTCGGGGCAGTGCGGCAGCGGGCGGACCGTGCGCGGGCGGGGCTGCGAGGAGAGGACGCTGTCCGACTGGCAATGTCCGAGAGAGAGCAAGGAGAAGGGGGGGAACGGGGAGCTCCCTCACCCTCAGCTGGGGCAGCGAGAGGTCCGGGAGAGGCACTGTGGCCCGGGAAGAAGGTCCTGCTGCAGCTGCGGCAGCTGCTGGTGGTGCGGCGGCCAGGAAAACAAACACAGGCGGTGCCGGTGCCGGTGCCAGTGGCAAGAGCGGTCGCCTTCCCGGTGCTGCCTGGCCATGGTGCGCTGCCGCTGGTGGACCCACCCTGTGCACCAGCACTGGTGCCGCCGCTGGTGGAGGTGGAAGTGCTGGCGCTGTCGGTGCTGCTGGTGTTGCCGGTTGGAGTCCACCTGCTGCAGCGCCTGGTCCCGGTGCCAACAGAAGCCTCTCCTTCTCTCGCAGGGTCTGACAAGGATGACACGCAAATTCGTGAAGCGTTCCTCATTTTTAAATTTATAAGATTAAAGTTTTGCATAGAGATAAAGTAGGCCAAGAGGTCTGGAAAAGGCATCAGAAGTCCAAATTGGGTTAAATTTGCCTAGGAAGCCCCTCTCCTTATTATTGACCCCAAAGTGTTTCACTGTCAGCCATGACAAGGACCATCAGAATCGATTAGTAAAGGTAAGGAGAAGTAAGGAAAGGAGACATTATGCTTCCTTTCATAGCTCCTTTAGCATAGGCCAGCAGTAAGGAGCTATGAGACATCATACAATCCACTGCTCAGATCAAACTGAAAGTTTCCAAATACTACTATAAAAAGTTATACACTGCAGCAGATTATTCTTTAAAATATCAAATAGACTAAGCTTTACAGTTAAACATAACTACTATATATATTGCTATATATTATTAATCTGGTCAGGTTTTGTTTGTTGTCTGACTCCCTGGTTTGTGCACGTTAGGGATTAAACCATTCAGCACAGAGGAAGTAGAAAACAAACTCCCCGCTGTCCCCAGATTAGACCCACAGCGCCTGAAACAACTGACAGAGCAGAGAGAGGCAGGGAGAAAGGAGCGAGAGACCGCTCAGGCCGTTGAAGCACAAATGATGCAGTCAGTGTGTCCGACAGTACACTACACATACACTACAGGGCAATAGAGCCTCTGTTCTGTACGACTCTACAACACAAGCGCTCTCAGTGTGGACATTATTTAGAAATTATTTAGAAATGTGAGTAGTAGAGCATTACCCATGATGCTTTGCTAGTCCATGTGCTGTTGCTAAGGCTACTTCCTGTTAGGCTTATCTCTGCGTTAAAAGTGTTTAAAAGTCAT